CTGGGCAACACAGACTTTCAACTCCCTCCAAAGATTTTCTATGGGGTTGAGATCTGGAGACTGGCTAGGCCACTCCAGGACCTTGAAATGGTTCTTACGAAGCCACTCCTTCGTGCCCGGGCGGTGTGTTTGGGATCATTGTCATCCTGAAAGACCCAGCCACGTTTCATCTTCAATGCCCTTGCTGATGGAAGGAGGTTTTCACTCAAAATCTCACGATACATGGCCCCATTCATTCTTTCCTTTACACGGATCAGTCGTCCTGGTCCCTTTGCAGAAAAACAGCCCCAAAGCATGATGTTTCCACCCCCATGCTTCACAGTAGGTATGGTGTTCTTTGGATGCAACTCAGCATTCTTTGTCCTCCAAACACGACGAGTTGAGTTTTTATCAGAAAGTTCTATTTTGGTTTCATCTGACCATATGACATTCTCCCAATCCTCTTCTGGATCATCCAAATGCACTCTAGCAAACTTCAGACGGGCCTGGACATGTACTGGCTTAAGCAGGGGGACACGTCTGGCACTGCAGGATTTGAGTCCCTGGCGGCGTAGTGTGTTACTGATGGTAGGCTTTGTTACTTTGGTCCCAGCTCTCTGCAGGTCATTCACTAGGTCCCCCCGTGTGGTTCTGGGATTTTTGCTCACCGTTCTTGTGATCATTTTGACCCCACGGGGTGAGATCTTGCGTGGAGCCCCAGATCGAGGGAGATTATCAGTGGTCTTGTATGTCTTCCATTTCCTAATAATTGCTCCCACAGTTGATTTCTTCAAACCAAGCTGCTTACCTATTGCAGATTCAGTCTTCCCAGGCTGGTGCAGGTCTACAATTTTGTTTCTGGTGTCCTTTGACAGCTCTTTGGTCTTGGCCATAATGGAGTTTGGAGTGTGACTGTTTGAGGTTGTGGACAGGTGTCTTTTATACTGATAACAAGTTCAAACAGGTGCCATTAATACAGGTAACGAGTGGAGGACAGAGGAGCCTCTTAAAGAAGAAGTTACAGGTCTGTGAGAGCCAGAAATCTTGCTTGTTTGTAGGTGACCAAATACTAATTTTCCACCATAATTTGCAAAAAAATTCATGAAAAATCCTACAATGTGACTTTCTGGATTTTTTTCTCTCAATTTGTCTGTCATAGTTGACGTGTACCTATGATGAAAATTACAGGCCTCTCTCATCTTTTTAAGTGGGAGAACTTGCACAATTGGTGGCTGACTAAATACTTTTTTCCCCCACTGTATATGTATGTATGTGTATATATGTATGTATGTATATATATTTGCGAGAAAAAAAACATGGGGGATTGTAAGTGATGCAGACAATTACATTGATGGAAGTTACAATCTATCTGCAATATTAAAGCTGATCTACCCCCGTAAAATAAAAAAATAAAAAAGATGCAGGCAAGAGTGTGCAAGGCGGTATTGAATGTGTCACTGTCACCTTGATTACTAAAATGTGTCTCTCGACCTGTACACCTACGTTGTAAACGTTCATTCGTAGGCTAAGTTGAAGCAACCTCATGATGTGTATAGGGAAAATTAGAGTATCATGTATACTGAACAAAAATATAAACGCAACATGCAACAATTTCAAAGATTTTACTGAGTTACAGTTCATATGAGGAAATCATTCAATTGAAATAAATAAATTAGGCCCCAATCTATGGATTTCACATGACTGGGAATACAGATATGCATCTGTTGGTCACAGATACCTTTAAAAAAAAATGGGCCTCAGGATCTCGTCACGGTATTTTTGTGCATTCAAATTGACATTGATAAAATGCAATTGTGTTTGTTGTCCGTAGCTTATGCCTGCCCATACCATAACCCCACCACCACCATGGGGCACTCTGTTCACAATGTTGACGTCAGCAAACCACTCGCCCACACAACGCGATACACATGGTATGCGGTTGTGAGGCCGGTTGGATGTACTGCCAAATTCTCTAAAATGACAATGGAGGCGGCTTATGGTAGATAAATGAACACTCAATTCTCTGGAAAAAGCTCTGGTGGACATTCCTGCAGTCAGCATGCCAATTGCATGCTCCCTCAAAACTTGATACATCTGTGGCATTGTGTTGTGTGACAAAACTGCACATTTCAGAGTGGCCTTTTATTGTCCCCAGCACAAGGTGCACCTGTGTAATGATCATGCTGTTTAATCAGCTAATTGTTATGCCACACATGTCAGGTGGATGGATTATCTTGGCAAAGGATAAATTATCAATTAACAGGAATGTAAACAAATTTGAGAGATAAGCTTTTTGTGCGTATGGAACATTTCTGGGATTTTTATTTAAGCTTATGAAACATGGGACCAACACTTTACATGTTGCATTTATATTTTTGTTCAGTGTCGTAGCCTAAACCTATGTTACATTGAGCTGGGTGAATGGAATATGAATGACAGTCATCCAATATGCTGTAATAGAAATAAGGCCATGCTCATAAAAAAATGCATCGTCCTCCCTGATCTTAAACAGCACAGACCGCCACTGGGCCCTACTACATACAGTGTTGTGTCCTGTACAATTGCAATATGGTCCACATATCATCTCAGACCAATTCATAATATCAGACAATATTAGAGATTACCGTTAGTATGTTTTTGGATCAGTATCAAAATGTGCCTAGAGATTGTAATTTGCTATTTAGAAAAATGGGACAACTATTAAAATAGTGTTAAGTATTCTGAGTATGTTCTCTTAGTATCTTCTTTGTTTAGCAGATAATAGTGTGTGTTGTGCATGGGAGGTTGTCTTGTGTTTGTGATTCCATTAAATCAATCTTTAACAAGTTACTCTAAATAAATATTTAATCGTTCCATCTCACCTGTGCCTATAAATAAAAGGTTAAATAAATAATAAAATAAAAATGGATGTACTATGCCCTAGTCATGTCCCAACAGGCTTTTAGTCCAACCCTATTTTAACATACCTGATTCAGCTGATGAAACTCCTGATGAGCAGCTGATTAAGTAGAATCATGCTGTGTATTCAGCAGGGCTGGAGCGAAAAAGGTCTGCACACCCAGTTAGATTTCCAGGAGGGTTGGCCACCCATGCCACAGACTGGTCTGAACTCTGCATAAGGAAGACATCAGTAGCCATGCACTGCCCCCTGGTGGCCAAGAGAGAGACCATGTAAGCCATTTAAACATTTACATTTACATTTTAGTCATTTAGCAGACGCTCTTATCCAGAGCGACTTACAGTTAGTGAATACATTTTTTTTTTTTTTTATACTGGCCCCCCGTGGGAAACGAACCCACAACCCTGGCGTTGCAAACGCCATGCTCTATCAACTGAGCTACATCCCTGCCGGCCATTCCCTCCCTTACCCTGGGCCAATTGTGCGCCGCCCCATGGGTCTCCCGGTCGCGGCCGGCTGCGACAGAGACTGGATTCGAACCAGGATCTCTAGTGGCACAGTTAGCACTGCGATGCAGTGCCTTAGACCACTGCGCCACTCAGGAGCTAGAACCAATTGTATTAGCAAAAAATACATGACCATGAACCGGAGCTACCTATACTTAATTATATACTGGTACATCACATGTAAATCAACTCCTGCAATACATGTGTGGTTTGTAAAAACTGTCAAATGTATACAAAGGTTATGTAGCCGTTTTACAATGTTCACATACATATAGGCCTACTATAAACATGAGTTATACATATTTACCACTCACACAAATTCACAAACCCATGACAAAATAAGCTGACAAATACAGACATTTATCGACGTCATGGTAACAAAAGATTTATTTATTCAATGGATATGTACAGCACGTCCCAGCATGAAAAGAGCAAGTTACATTTCCATAACATTAAGATTTTGGGGGGTTATTTGAGAGTTTTTCTTATAGCTCTCAAATTAATTTTGAAAGAAAACAATAGGACATACAACAGGTGTGCTTCGGTTCAGACATTTAAAAACCCACAGAGAGCCAAAACTCAGTAGATCGGACCACTGTTTAAAGTGGTGGGGGATACAACTCCAAAAACAAAGAGCCCAAAAAATATGCTCCTAAAACTCAAGTGGCTGTACATGTGGGTTACAAGTTAATGACTCAGCCTTGGTACTGTCTGCACCAACAAAAAACAAATAGTTTACAGATCAATCTTCAAAAGTGTGCCTAGGAATAAAATCTATAGATTGAAATGTGGAGGGCAAAATTATTTTTAAAACAATAAACTAACAGCAGCAAATCAGTTTGAAATCAAATTAAAATAGTCTGCTTTGGGACATCACCAGGACCTGTTAGCTGTCTTAAAGGAGGGAAGAAATGTGGTGTTGTTGTTTATCTTTGTGGAGAAGAAAATGTCTATAATTTTGTCATAGTGATGTGTTTGTGTTGTCTTTATGAGTGTTGTGTGTCCAAATATATTTGTGTACTTGTGAGCCTAAATTTAGCTTGACATAAGTGAGAATGTCGAATTGCTATTTGTTGTGTCAGTGATTAGAAACCATTAACCTTAAAATACATAATCGTGCCAAAAATCTTTGACTGGAATAAAATACCCTAACATTTGGCTTAAGATCGAGAATACAAACAAACAGAGGGAAAATAATTAAAAGAGATGAACCTTGATTACTGGCTCCAATCATAAACTGTCCAACTAGAAGGAAAACCACATACCACAGGGTCTGGCGAGATTGGGGACAATAGTAACCCATCTTACATACATGATACAAACAAAAAAACAGACGTCATTCTGACTTATAAGTCCTTATTGCCTTGGGTGGGGCTCTCCTCCTTCCTCCCTCTCATTATCCAGGAACTGTGGCTGCATCTCAAATGGCACCCTAATGACACCCTATTCCTCATCTAGTGCACTACTTTTGAGTACAGCCCCATAGGGGAACTACATGGGGCTCTGGTCAAAAGTAGTGCACTACACAGAATAAGGTACCATTTGAGACCCATACTATCTTAAAAACCAACACCTAAGCAGAGGGGGGAAGTGGATCATTCCTGGACTTTGGCTACTTCGAAGTTGACCGCCAGTTTCCTGTGTTTCCTCTTGGAGGCGGAACCAGGGGTGTGGCCATGGCCTGGCGTGGTGTTCTGGCGTGGCGTCTGTGGCGTGGAGGGGGTCCCAGCCGTCTCAGGGGGGTCCTCGGCGGTCTTTGGGGGTGTGATGGGGGCTGCAGGAGTTGCTGAGGGGGCCGGGGATAGGGAGGGTTGGGAGTGAGACTGGGCTTCGTTACTCTGGGCTTGGTTCCTCACCGTGTGAGCCGCATTGTAGAACTCCTGTGGCTTCTTGCCTGATGACACGCGCTTCTTAGTCACCTGACAGGGGTTAGAATTTAGAGGTTAGGATTGTGTGAGAACACACACAGTTAATAATCGTAATTTCTCTAGGCTAATCTGTGATGGAATCCCCAAATACTATCAATATGTTTCTTTTGGCCACATATGCGCACAATACTGTGTTGTTGTGAACCATATTTAATGTGAACCACAGAAACAGGTTCTGGTGTAAACCACAGAAACAGGTTCTGGAGCTCCTACCTGCAGGGGGACAAACTGGTTGTGTGAGCCGATGGGAACGGAGGGTGCTTGGGGCCGGGCGCCAGGGAAGGTGCCACCGTAGAAGGGCTGTCCCTGGTGGGACGGGAGGGGCATGCCCCAGTGGAGAGGACCATACCCCTGAGGAGGGATTAGCAGACCACCTGGAGTGGGGGGGGGGGGGGGAGACAGAGAACGGGTTAGGTTCACATCCTGTATTCATAAGTGTCCTAAAACCAACAAGGCGAAAGGCATAACTGCACCCAGAGTGGTCGTACTGTTACAGTATACTTTAGTATCATTATAGACGCCCCACATGACGGCAGGTCTCACCTGATTGGCCGAATACGTTAGAGATGGGTCCCATGGGCGGTCCCCTTATCTGGCCGACCCCGGAGAACAGAGGCGGAGGCAGGGGGAACCCAGAACCCACCGAATTCTACAGGAGACAGAGAGAGAGGTTAAAAAACAGAAGTATAGGAGACATTAGTCAAATATATACACACAATAAAATAATAAAGAAACAGTTTGACATGCACGTGTAAACACACACACACAGACAGATCGTGCAGAGGTACAGTAGGGACACACACCACACTCACAAGGCGCTGCAGGGCGAAGAGGGATGCCTTCTCTTTGGCTTCATTCTCAGACTGACTCTGGGGACCGTGGACCAGCAGACCACTGGAGAGCTTCACCTGACACACCATCAAACCCTGGGAGAGGAGGAGGAGAGAGAGGAAGAGAGAGAATGGAGGTGGAGGTAGCGAGAGAAGACGACTTTGAGAAACAGAGAGATGTAGGGACGTTGCTAAAGGATGTGCCCACAATTTTACACTTTGACAACACTGTGTGTGTGTGTGTGCCTGCTACATGTGTATGTGCATGTAACATGTCTGTGTGTGCTTGCCTGCTATGTGTGTATGTGTCTCTGCCTCACCTGTCTGCTGCGTATGAAGGTGAAGTCGGGTGGGGCCATGCCCAGGCCTATACAGATCCTAGCCAGCTCTGAGGCCACACTGGGGACCATGGAGGAGGGCTGGGGGGCCTGCAGGGGAGGGACTGCTGCTGCTGCTGGGGCCAGAGGTAACACTAAGTCTCCCATCCTCGCCGCTGAGACAGACAGAGGGGTGAGGTGGAGAGGATGAGGGTAGAACGAGAGAAAGGGGGTGAAAAGAGATGGAGCAAAGGGGAGGAGGGAGAGCGATATGGAAAGAGGTGGAAGGAGGGAGAAAGGAGAGATGAAAGGAAAGATGGGGAAGGACGAGAAGGGGAAGGTAGAAAAACTGGTTTAATATTTGTCGTATCTCCAAATAGTTCCACCTGTATCTAAACATGTAGTTAAACCCTGTATTTCAGCTCACCCAGTTTCTTGGTGGGTCTTCTCCTGTTCTGCTGCTGTGTGTTGGAGGAGGTGGGACTAGTGGAGTCAGGGGCTGAGCCAATGTTCAGCATCTCCTTCAGGGCCAGAGTCCCCTTCTACACACAGGAGAACAACCAATCACAATTAGTCTACTGACTACTACAACAAACCACAAGGAAGAAGCGGATAAATCTAATTTAAGAGTTTGATATGGGCCCTGAGTGCACTATAGCATAAGACCAACCAGTGACTGTACTAGTCTATTACCCACCATTGCGAACGATTGTGGCGACAGCGGCTCTTCCGATTGGCTCGTGGGCTCCTTGGCTGGAGGGGGTGGAGTTGGCTCGTTGCCCTTGGTGATCTTCAGGTTGGCGATCAACTCCTCAAACTCTGTTTGCTGGAGACAGAGGGGGACAGGTGGGTAAGATTGTGTGTGTGTGTGTGTGTGTGTGTGTGTGTGTGTGTGTGTGTGTGTGTGTGTGTGTGTGTGTGTGTGTGTGTGTGTGTGTGTGTGTGTGTACCTTCTTTGTGGCGTTCTGAGCGGGAAACAGAGAGTCGACATCTTCATTTCTCTTCAGCAGTCTGATACTTCCTGCTGGACCCTATAAAACAACATGAAGTTTTACACACATGTTGTATCGCTCTCTCTTTCCCAGACACACACACATCATATCTCTCTTACACAAAGACACGCATACACACACCTCATTCCCCCTCACAGAACTCGCACATTGACATCTTTCAACAACAAAAAATAAGAAAAATCTCACCTCTCTCTCACACTTCACTCACCTCCCGATAACATCAAAATGTTATTTCATCTTCACTGATGTTTGACTAAACTAACAACTTAGTCTACACACAGCCTTCCACTTGTAATAACAAACCCCACACTGAAATCGGCTTTCGGAAAGTGCATTTTATTGACTAGTTTCATTTCATTTGTAGTCCTGACTCCACTGGCTAAGCTGCCTGCTGAGGACCCTGGCCACTGCCTGCTATTTGTCTACAGCTGGGGGTGATGATGGGAGCTAAAGTAAGGACCAAAGAGATGTGGTTTGATGTTTAGGAATGTGTAGGGTTCAAAGGTTAGGGATGTAGGTGTATAAGGGTTCAAACGTTAGGATGAAATGGTGACTTACAGGTTTGGGGGGTTGCTGTTGTTGACTCTGGGGTTGGTTCCTGCCCTGTTGCCCCTGGAACTGCCCTTCCTGTCCGGGAGACCCTGGAGCCCAGGCAGAATTACCCACCTGGGGACAGACACACACAGAGATGGGGGTCAGGTCACACAGAGAGATGTACAATAGCTTTATTCGCACGCATAGACACACACACACACAAAAAGCAACAATGAACACTACTACACTCACAATGTGAGTATTGTAACACTTTACATTGACACTGGTACAGACAAAGTTATGAATGGACTTACATTGCCTTGTTGCCAATGGGCTGGTGGTTTCTGAGGCATTCCAGAACTCTGCAGAGACTGCCACACATTACTGAACTCCTCATCTTTACCCTGCAGTCACAGAGAGGGACAGAGAGATGTTACACACACTCCACCACACACTAATCTAGCTTTGTATACAGAAAAACTCATACACAAACAGAGAGCCAGAGAGAGAACAAACACAGGCTTACCTTAGGCTGGTGTTTCTGGCTGAGGGCATTGTGGTGCACATTTTTGTTGCCCTGAGTGTCTGCCCTGAGAATGTTTTGTCTGCCGTTCTGCTGCTGAGAGAGACAGAGGGAGAGAGAGAGAGAGATGGAGAAAGAGAGAGAGGGCGAGAGAGGGAGAGAGACCGAGGGAGAGTGAGCGAGACAGATGGAGAGACAGACAAAGGGAGAGAGAGAGAGGAGGTAATGTTTACATCAAGACATACAGAGGGAGGTAGATAGAGAGTATGGTGGGCAAATGTGAGAAACAGAGAGAAAGTTGGAGGCGATTCACTAGGATCTATTCTGGTTTAGTCTAATGAGTGGGAGATTTAACCCATTCTTATTTGAGTGTGTGTGTGTGCAAACGTGACGTGAGTACATGCGTAATATGCTCTACTCCAGTCCTACCTGTGTGGGTATGAAGGGTGAGCGTGGGGAGTGGTTGAGCCCGGCCAGCTGTCCTTTGTTGTGTGTGTGGTGGTGGGAGGAGGCAGGCTGGGGCTTGACGATGGCGGTCAGTTTGTGGGAGCCCTGCTCCACACGGCCCCCATGGCTCAGGTTGATTAAGGCACACGGAGGAAGCCTGTAGCCACGGCCTGACGCACACCTAGTCAGGCAACAGACCACAGTTAGGCAAACTACAGTCACCCAGAACAACAGTCAGATCAGACAATGGGCCACAGTCACAAAACACAGGTACTTGACATAAAAAAAACGCATAACCTAAAATAAAATATGTTATGAATCAAAGGCCTGAAACACTTAACATAGGCCTATGTGAAACAATGAAACACAGACATGAGACTGTACCTGATATTAAGTCCACCGGCAAACTCTTCATCAAACACAACCTCATACAAAACCTCAGCCTCCCGATCAGCTGCCATGGGAGAGACGTTTAACATCGGTTTAGAGACGGTTCAAAGATGAGAGGGTGGCCGTGTGTATGTTGTATATGAGAGAAAGAGTGAGTGAGTGTGAGAGAGATGTAACCAAGTGTGGGTGTGTTGTGTGCGCCTACTTACATCCCTTGATGCCGATGATGGTTCCTCGGAGGCCGAGGGGGACAGAGAAGCTCTCTCTGACATTGACCACCCGGTCAAACAGGTGGTACTCTGCATCCGGGTCAGGGACCACACCGTGCTGCTGCTCTAAAGGCTGGAGGGAGGGACACACACACACCAGGGTTTAGAGCAGTTGTATGTGTTGGACCAATATGGAGGTTTTAATGTCCTTGTCACCCACTATATGACACAGACAGTCATAAATGTTCCTCTCCACACACACTCCTCACCCTGAAGAGCAAATGGGGCTTCACGGTCACACGCACTTTCTTGCTGCTCTTCTTCACCTGAGAAACAGAGGGAGGTAAGAGGGACTACAGGAACACTACAAACAATATTCAATTGATAATTGACAGTGAAGGAAGGGCTTGTTGAGTAGTGTGTCCATCCACCTACCTTATTAAATTGACAGAAAAATGAGGGTAAGAGTAGCCAGATAAATGATTGACAGAGAGAATATCGATGACAGAGCCGAGGGAGATGACAGATAAATGATTGACAGAGAGAATATCGATGACAGATAAATGATTGACAGAGAGAATATTGATGACAGTGCCGAGGGAGAGAGAGCACCCCTCTATCCACATCGACGGGACCGCAGTGGAGAAGGTGGAAAGCTTCAAGTTCCTTGGCGTACACATCACTGACAAACTGAAATGGACCACCCACACAGTGTGGTGAAGAAGGCGCAACAGAGCCTCTTCAACCTCAGGGGGCTGAAGAAATTAGGCTTGGCACCTAAAACCCTCACATACTTTTACAGATGCACAATTGAGAGCATCCTGTCTGGCTGTATCACCGCCTGGTAAAGCAACAGCACCGCCCGCAACCGCAAGGCTCTCCAGAGAGTGTAGTGGTCTGCACAACGCATTACCGGGGGCAAACTACCCGCCCTCCAGGACACCTACAGCACCCGTTGTCACAGGAAGGCCAAAAAGATCATCAAGGACATCAACCACCCGAGACACTGCCTGTTCACCCCGCTATCATCCAGAAGGCAAGGTCAGTACAGGTGCATCAAAGCTGGGACAGAGAGACTGAAAAATAGCTTCTATCTCAAGGCCATCAGACCTTTAAACAGCCATCACTACCACATTAGAGGCTGCTGCCTATATACACAGATTAGAAATCACTGGCCACTTTAATAAATGGAACACTAGTCACTTTAATAATGTTTACATATCTTGCATTACTCATCTCAAATGTATATACTGTATTCTATACTATTCTACTGTATCTTAGTCCATGCCGCTCTGACATCGCTCGTCCATATATGTATTCTTAATTCATTCCTTACTTAGATGTGTGCATTGGGTATATTTTGTGAAATTGTTAGATATTCCTTGTTAAATATTACTGCACTGTCGGAGCTAGAAGCACAAGCATTTCGCTACACCCGCAATAACATCTGCTAAACACGTGTATGTGACCAATAAAATTAGATTTGATATAAATGATTGACAGAGATAATATTGATGATAAAGCTGAGGGAGAGGACAGATAAATCATTGACAGCCCCCAGTTACCTTAGCCACTTCCTCCTCGATCTGCTCCACGATGGCAGTGTCCAGGATCTGCAGGTCACATGACGCGCGGGCGATGTCGGCGACTGGGTGTGTCTTCAACCAGGAAGTGATCTCCTTCACCCTCTCCGCCCTGCCGGAAAACCATCCCCATCACAACTACCCTCACCACCATTCTCAATATTACTACCACTTATCTACTTCTGCCTTGATACATACCAACGTACTCCTAGTGTTTTCTATGTGTGTTTAAGAAAATCTGAATGCAAGTCTTAAGTGTGTAAGTGTTGCAAGCATACAAGTTTAACTATTATGACTGTATGACTGAGTGTAAATTATGAGTGTTAAATGCATGAATATGAGTGCTACCCGTTTTCGTCCACTCCAGGCCAGATGTCATCCTCATAGAAGACATCATCGTGACTGTTCCTGGACACCAGGTCAAACACCTCAGAGAACCTACAGGAGACACACAAGGCAGGTTACACACGCACACACACTAACAATAACACGCACAATGCTGTTTCACACACACCACACACACTAACACGCACAACGCTGTTTCACACACCTATCCAGGTACTCAGCCATCAGTTCCTCCACAGCGTCAGAGTAGAGCCACTCCTTCTCTGTTCTCTTGGTGTAACCTGGCACCTCCTCATTCTTCTTATTGAACTTCAGGTTCAGACCCACGTTAGCCTTCTGCTCCCCATGGGGACTGAGGGGGGACAGGGAGAGAGGGAGAACAGAAGAAAGACACGGAGGGAGAGAGCGACATGGTTTATTAGACACATGCAAAACAACCTATATGGTCAAAAGTAGTGCACTTAATGGAGAACAGGCTGTTATTTGAAATGTGTTCACTCACTTTTTCTTGGATCCTCTGCCGACAAAGATGCTGCCAGAGAATCTGGAGACGAGGTAGCCGGTGATGCCAAGGCGTGAGGCCAGAACGTAGCCAGGACTGTACTTCACACAGTATTTCTTTCAGGAGAGAGAGAGGAGAGGGTGAGCTTGGAAAGGCTGCACATGTTTGGTCATGTGGTGGGGCAAGGGAGGAGTGTGAGAGAGGTGTCGTTTTGAGAATGACTTACATGCTGGTTCTGTATTAAGGATTCCATCGGTGGTTCACAGGGCACCGTGAACACCACCCGCACCCGTCCCTCTTTGATGACATCACTGGACTCCTGCACCTGTGTGACCAAAGGGAAAAGCATGAAAGGCTTTTCTCACAGATCCTCATTTCATGACTCTACACATTTAGCTTTGTCAGGACTGTTGTTATTAAGAGGCGGAAAGGGTAATGCAAAAGAACGACAACAACTGGCATAGAAAGGGCAAGTAGTCCAGGTCAATAAGGAAGTGTTTAAGGCTTAGACAGGAAGTAGAGACAGGAAACAGGAAGTGGTGCCGACCTCTCCCATGGCACCGTAGTAGGGGTTCCCCACCATGAACACCGTGGTCGTCGGGGGAAATAGCTCCTCCAGGGTCTTGAAGCGAGTCGACGATGAGTCAAAGGCTTTGATGTCCTGAGAGAGAGAGGGAGAGAGTTGTGTGTGTGTGTGTGTGTGTGTGTGTGTATGTGTGTGTGTGTGTGATACCGACCATAGTTATCGTAGGCATTTTACTGATATTGTTAATTACGATAAGTAGCCTATACTAGAGAAATGTGAAGTTTGAAATGAAATAAGTTTGCTAATAAGGTTGAATTTTAATGGGACAATTGATGGCTACAACAATCAAACTAGTAGTAGTTTAAATAATAATTCCCCAAAACCTGTGGTGCACATTAATGTTATAAAGTTATCGTTCTATTTATCATTATCACAAAATTCAGGCAATTTATCACAATATTGATTTTTGTCTATATTGCACAGTGTACGCGTCTGTGCTCACCTTGACGATGGTCTGGTAGGGGTAGGGCAGTATCTGCTTGGCCCACTGTTTCTCCAGGTGCACCTGTCCACTCTGCCCAGGTACATACTTCCTGCCTGTCAGCAGCTGGGTATACAACACCACCGCAGTCTCATTCACAGTGACGCCCTTACGCTTACTGAAACTGAGATTGAGGGGAGAGAGAGAGGGGAAACAGGTGGGAGGGAGAGAGAGAGAGAGAGGATAGAAGAGAGAGAGAGTAGAGAGAGAGAAGCAAGATCTGCTTAGAGTAGAGAGAGCAGACTCCGAGCGATCCATGAATAGAGCGCGAGACGGTATCTCACTCTCTCGCTCTCTCTCTGCCGATGCTCGCTCTCTGCTATCGTCCTCGCGCTCTCTCGTACTCGAGAGAGCAGGAGAGAGAAACAGAGGTATTATGGTAGGGAGAGTGGTCAGGCAAAACACAGGTCTCCCTAGAAAAAGAGGTCTTCTGACCAAAATGGGACTTCTTGGTGAAATAAAGGTCAAGTAAAAAAAATGTATAGACTCATAGGACGGCACTTCTACCAAAGAGGGTGCAGAAATCCAACATACACAAGACCACACTGAAAAACTACTCCACTTTGATGACAAACATACGTTTTTATAACAAATAGATGCTTACTGCTCAGTGATGCCCTGTACGTCCTTAACCCAGTCCTTCTGTTCTTTGTCACTGAGGTAGGTGACCTTAGTGGGGGGAGGAGAGTCCCTGTCGTACAGTTTCTGCATCCCTGCCGGCTCTTCCAGGAAGAACCTGAGGGGGAGGGGTGAGTGAAGGAGGGAGAGAGAAAATGTAGGGGAAAGGAGGGTTGGAGGTGGAAGGAGATAGATATTGATGAAAATCGACAACTCGGTGTACTTCAAAGTTATAGTCTAATGAGAACTGAAAGAAGGGCCGTGACAGACAGTTCAGGTTTAGCACTGTAGTTAAGTTTAGCCCTCATTAGGCATGAGTAGAACTAAGTGTGGCTCTTACTTTCTCTCCCCGTCAGACACTGCTACCACCCTGGCCTCCTCTAGGTGGGGCCAGTTGACAAAGACAGACCGACCCAGGACCAGGGAGGCTACATTATCACACATCTGAAATGGGGAGAGAGTGGGGAGGATAAGAAAGAGGGATAGAGAGAGGGAGAAGGGGGTGAGAAACAAAATCTACTACTTCTGCTCCAGGCATAGTGTTTCTAACAGTCTTCGACTCGTCATAGAAACAAGACTGTGTGTCCATACTCACTGGTTCCTCTTTGCTAGGTATGATCTCCAGCATCATGTTCTCTCCTCGGCTGCTCTGCTGGAACACCACCACTCCATGTTTCTTCTTATAGAACTATAGAGACAGAAGACAAACACATTCACAGATGAAAACATACAAGTATTCAGATTCTAAGATTGGGAAAAAAAACGATCTTTGTCAATATTGGGGTGTAAATGGCATAAAACAGTTAGCGAGCTAACTTTGGTCAACTGAGTTCAACCCTAGATAACTGACACTACACATTTCACTCCACACACTTACTAATGAAAGCATGCATTTGAAAATTCAAGAGCAGTAAAACTTTCACATAGACTTAATACAATTATTTTATCGCTACGAGTGGGGAAAAAAGGGCTTGTGCATTGATAGGCACACCAAAGACGACAAACGATATGCGTAAGAAAGACAGCACTTCCAATAGCCCATTTCCCAATATAGCCTGCGGATATGCAGGATACATTTTTATTTAGGGGGTAGATCAGCTTTAACATTGCAGATAGATTGTAACTTCCATCAATGTAATTGTCTGCATCACTTCCAAACCCCCATGTTTTTTTTCTCACAGACCTGTTAGTTTTTCTTTAAGAAGCCCTCCTGTTCTCCACTCATTACCTGTATTAACTGCACCTGTTTGAACTCGTTACCTGTATAAAAGACACCTGTCCACACACTCAATCAAATAGACTCCAACCTCTCCACAATGGCCAAGACCAGAGAGCTGTGTAAGGACATCAGGGATAAAATTGTAGACCTGCACAAGGCTGGGATGGGCTACAGGACAATAGGCAAGCAGCTTGGTGAGAAGGCAACAACTGTTGGCGCAATTATTAGAAAATGGAAGAAGTTCAAGATTACGGTCAATCACCCTCGGTCTGGGGCTCCATGCAAGATCTCACCTTGTGGGGCATCAATGATCATGAGGAAGGTGAGGGATCAGCCCAGAACTACACAGCAGGACCTGGTCAATGACCTGAAGAGAGCTGGGACCACAGTCTCAAAGAAAACCATTAGTAACGCACTACGCCGTCATGGATTAAAATCCTGCAGCGCACGCAAGGTCCCCCTGCTCAAGCCAGCGCATGTCCAGGCCCGTCTGAAGTTTGCCAATGACCATCTGGATGATCCAGAGGAGGAATGGGAGAAGGTCATGTGGTCTGATGAGACAAAAATAGAGCTTTTTGGTCTAAACTCCACTCGCCGTGTTTGGAGGAAGAAGAAGGATGAGTACAACCCCAAGAACACCATCCCAACCGTGAAGCATGGAGGTGGAAACATCATCCTTTGGGGATGCTTTTCTGCAAAGGGGACAGGACGACTGCACCGTATTGAGGGGAGGATGGATGGGGCCATGTATCGCGAGATCTTGGCCAACAACCTCCTTCCCTCAGTAAGAGCATTGAAGATGGGTCTTGGCTGGGTCTTCCAGCATGACAACGACCCGAAACACACAGCCAGGGCAACTAAGGAGTGGCTCCGTAAGAAGCATCTCAAGGTCCTGGAGTGGCCTAGCCAGTCTCCAGACCTGAACCCAATAGAAAATCTTTAGAGGGAGCTGATAGTCCGTATTGCCCAGCGACAGCCCCGAAACCTGAAGGATCTGGAGAAGGTCTGTATGGAGGAGTGGGCCAAAATCCCTGCTGCAGTGTGTGCAAACCTGGTCAAGACCTACAGGAAACGTATGATCTCTGTAATTGCAAACAAAGGTTTCTGTACCAAATATTAAGTTCTGCTTTTCTGATGTATCAAATACTTATGTCATGCAATAAAATGCAAATTAATTACTGCCTGCATCTTTTTTATTTATTTATTTTACGGGGGTAGATCAGCTTTAATATTGCAGATAACTATGACAGACAAAATGAGGAGAAAAAATCCAGAAAATCACATTGTAGGATTTTTTATGAATTTATTTGCAAATTATGGTGGAAAATAAATATTTGGTCAATAACAAAAGTTTCTCAATACTTTGTTATATACCCTTTGTTGGCAATGACACAGGTCAAACGTTTTCTGTAAGTCTTCACAAGGTTTTCACACACTGTTGCTGGTATTTTGGCCCATTCCTCCATGCAGATCTCCTCTAGAGCAGTGATGTTTTGGGGCTGTCGCTGGGCAACACGGACTTTCAACTCCCTCCAAAGATTTTCTATGGGGTTGAGATCTGGAGACTGGCTAGGCCACTCCAGGACCTTGAAATGCTTCTTACGAAGCCACTCCTTCGTTGCCCGGGCGGTGTGTTTGGGATCATTGTCATGCTGAAAGACCCAGCCACGTTTCATCTTCAATGCCCTTGCTGATGGAAGGAGGTTTTCACTCAAAATCTCACGATACATGGCCCCATTCATTCTTTCCTTTACACGGATCAGTCGTCCTGGTGGAGTTTGGAGGGTGACTGTTTGAGGTTGTGGACAGGTGTCTTTTATACTGATAACAAGTTCAAACAGGTGCCATTAATACAGGTAACGAGTGGAGGACAGAGGAGCCTCTTAAAGAAGAAGTTACAGGTCTGTGAGAGCCAGAAATCTTGCTTGTTTGTAGGTGACCAAATACTTATTTTCCACCATAATTTGCAAATAAATTCATAAAGAAAAAGATTTTCTGGATTTTTTTCTTCTCATTTTGTCTGTCATAGTTGACGTGTACCTATGATGAAAATTACAGGCGTCTCGTCTTTTTAAGTGGGAGAACTTGCACAATTGGTGGCTGACTAAATAAAATGTTTTCCCCACTGTATATAGTGGGGGAAAAAAGTATTTGATCCCCTGCTGATTTTGTACGTTTTCCCACTGACAAAGAAATGATCAGTCTATAATTTTAATGGTATATTTATTTGAACAGTGAGAGACAGAATAACAACAAAAAAATCCAGAAAAATGCATGTCAAAAATGTTATAAATTGATTTGCATTTTAATGAGGGAAATAAGTATTTGACCCTTCTGCAAAACATGACTTAGTACTTGGTGGCAAAACCCTTGTTGGCAATCACAGAGGTCAGACGTTTCTTGTAGTTGGCCACCAGGTTTGCACACATTTCAGTAGGGATTTTGTCCCACTCCTCTTTGCAGATCTTCTCCAAGTCATTAAGGTTGAGGCTGACGTATGGCAACTCGAACCTTCAGCTCCCTCCACAGATTTTCTATGGGATTAAGGTCTGGAGACTGGCTAGGCCACTCCAGGACCTTAATGTGCCTCGTCTTGAGCCACTCCTTTGTTGCCTTGGCCGTGTGTTTTGGGTCATTGTCATGCTGGAATACCCATCCACGACCCATTTTCAATGCCCTGGCTGAGGGAAGGAGGTTGTCATCCAAGATTTGACGGTACATGGCCCCGGCCATCGTCCCTTTGATGCGGTGAAGTTGTCCTAACCCCTTAGCAGAAAAACACCCCCAATGCATAATGTTTCCACCTCCATGTTTGACGGTGGGGCTGGTGTTACTTTTTTTTTTTTTTTTTTTTTTTTGGGGGGGGGGAATGGATCAGCTTAATATTGCAGATAGATTGTATCTTCTATCAATGTAATTGTCTGCATCACTTCCAATCCCCCATGTTGTATTTTTATTTTTTATATATATATTCCCCTTTATTACTTTTCAACCCCACCATCCTTTCCCTACTTGGAGTAAATTAGTGAACAACAACGCCCAGGCCTCTACTTCCGGTCTATACTTACTATCTACACCTTATGGACAGAGTTAATTTTACAATAATTATATATATATATATTTATATTTTTTTGCTCCTGAACTTCTTCTACTCTCAACCTCTCCGATCATTTTCATGATGTCCATCCGGTTTGCTTCTAAATGCCATATCTTTCTAACTGTGCTCTTTCCCAAAAGCTCCCAACATACAACCTATATACTTATTATGGACACAGTATGCTTACATTATTAGCTATCTTTGTTATTATTTGTTGTTATTTGTTATTAGTCCCATCCTTCAACTCTATTCAATACCTCCCATTTATCTCTTAACACCATCCATATAGGATTTCTATTTGCCATATATATTTCAACCGTACTGTGATGTTTTACAAAAGTTCTGAACCTTTCTATTCTCATTGCTTCTACAGATTGTGAATTAAAAATAAACATTTTTGAGATCTGGAGACTGGCTAGGCCACTCCAGGACCTTGAAATGCTTCTTACGAAGCCACTCCTTCGTTGCCCGGGCGGTGTGTTTGGGATCATTGTCATGCTGAAAGACCCAGCCACGTTTCATCTTCAATGCCCTTGCTGATGGAAGGAGGTTTTCACTCAAAATCTCATGATACATGGCCCCATTCATTCTTTCCTTTACACGGATCAGTCGTCCTGGTCCCTTTGCAGAAAAACAGCCCCAAAGCATGATGTTTCCACCCCCATGCTTCACAGTAGGTATGGTGTTCTTTGGATGCAACTCAGCATTCTTTGTCCTCCAAACATGACGAGTTGAGTTTTTACCAAAAAGTTCTATTTTGGTTTCATCTGACCATATGACATTCTCACAATCCTCTTCTGGATCATCCAAATGCACTCTAGCAAACTTCAGACGGGCCTGGACATGTACTGGCTTAAGCAGGGGGACACGTCTGGTACTGCAGGATTTGAGTCCCTGGCGGCGTAGTGTGTTACTGATGGTAGGCTTTGTTACTTTGGTCCCAGCTCTCTGCAGGTCATTCACTAGGTCCCCCCGTGTGGTTCTGGGATTTTTGCTCACCGTTCTTGTGATCATTTTGACCCCACGGGGTGAGATCTTGCGTGGAGCCCCAGATCAAGGGAGATTATCAGTGGTCTTGTATGTCTTCCATTTCCTAATAATTGCTCCCACAGTTGATTTCTTCAAACCAAGCTGCTTACCTATTGCAGATTCAGTCTTCCCAGCCTGGTGCAGGTCTACAATTTTGTTTCTGGTGTCCTTTGACAGCTCTTTGGTCTTGGCCATAGTGGAGTTTGGAGTGTGACTGTTTGAGGTTGTGGACAGGTGTCTTTTAAACTGATAACAAGTTCAAACAGGTGCCATTAATACAGGTAATGAGTGGAGGACAGAGGAGCCTCTTAAAGAAGAAGTTACAGGTCTGTGAGAGCCAGAAATCTTGCTTGTTTGTAGGTGACCAAATACTTATTTTCCACCATAATTTGCAAATAAATTCATTAAAAATCCTACAATGTGTTTTTCTGGAAAAAAAAATCTCATTTTGTCCGTGTACCTATGATGAAAATTACAGGCCTCTCTCATCTTTTTAAGTGGGAGAACTTGCACAATTGGTGGCTGACTAAATACTTTTTTCCCCCACTGTGTGTGTGTGTATATATATATATATATATATATATATATATATATATATATATATATATATATATATATATATATATATATATATATATAAATAAAATACAATAATATGCCATTTAGCAGATGCTTTTATCCAAAGCGACTTACAGTCATGTGTGCATACATTTTTACGTATGGGTGGTCCCGGGGATCGAACCCAGTACCCTGGCGTTACAAGCGCCATGCTCCACCAATTGAGCTACAGAGGACCACATTGAGCTACAGAGGACGAGCTCTGGGAAAAATTAAGAGACCACTGCAAAAATATACATTTCTCTGGTTTTACTATTTATAGGTATGTGTTTGGGTGAAATTAATATTTTTGTTTTATTCTATAAACTACTGACAACATTTCTCCCTAATTCCAAATAAAAATATTATCATTTAGAGCATTTATTTGCAGAAAATGACAACTGGTCAAAATAACAAAAAAGATGCAGTGTTGTCAGACCTCGAATAATGCAAAGAAAATAAGTTCATGTTCATTTTTAAACAACACAAAACTAATGTTTTAACTAAGGAAGAGTTCAGAAATCAATATTTGGTGGAATAACACATATTTTCTATCACAGCTTTCATGGGTATTGGCATGCTCTCCACCAGTCTTTCACATTGATGTTGGGAGACTTTATGCGCCTCCTGGCGCAAAAATTCAAGCAGCTCGGCTTTGTTTGATGGCTTGTGACCATCCATCTTCCTCTTGATCACATTACAGAAGTTTTCAATGGGGTTCAGGTCTGGAGATTGGGCTGGCCATGACAGGGTCTTGATCTGGTGGTCCTCCATCCACACCTTGATTGACCTGGCTGTATGGCATGGCGCATTGTTCTGCTGGAAAAACCAATCCTCCGAGTTGGGGAACAATGTCAGAGCAAAAGGAAGCAAGTTTTCTTCCAGGACAACCTTGTACGTGGCTTGATTCATGCGTCCTTCACAAAGACAAATCTGCCCGATTACAGCATTGCTGAAGCACCCCCTGATCATCACCGATCCTCCACCAAATTTCACAGTGGGTGCGAGACACTGTGGCTTGTAGGTCTCTCCAGGTCTCCATCTAACCATTAGACGACCAGGTGTTGGGCAAAGCTGAAAATTGGACTCAGAGAAGATGACCTCTACGGTCCAATCCTTATGGTCTTTTGCAAACCTCAGCCTGGCTCTTCTTTGCTTCTCATTGATGAAGGGCTTTTTTCTAGGTTTGCACGACTTCAGCCATGCCCCTAGGAGCCTGTTTCGAACCATCCTCGCCATGCACTTCACCCCAGCTGCCATTTGCCATTCTTTTTGTAGGTCACTTGATGTCATCCTACGGTTGTTGAGTGACATTCGAATGAGTTGGCGGTCATCCCGGTCAGTCGAGAGTCGTTTTCGCCCTCTGCCGGTCTGTAGCTTTGTTGTCTCCAATGTCTGCTGCTTGACCTTGTTCTTATGAACCACCGTCTTTGAAATTTTAAGGATGGAAGCAACCTGACGCTCACTGTATCCCTCTGCCAGTAAAGCCAGAATTGAACCCTTCTTTTCCTCATTCAAAACTTTCCTTTTCAACTCTTTTGTCATGGTCAATAGTTATTTTTTGATTAATATTACTTTTGAGGTACTATTAGCACTGTTTTTGCCATCCAGCTGGACCTATTGCAAGAGGATAGTGATGACCACAGCAGTGGTTTTTATAATTTTGCTTGTTAAATAAGATTTGGTTCATGTGATCACCTAATCAGTACCTAATTCAGTAGAATGAGGTGTGCCTGTGTTGGAATTCAACAGACACTGGAATGGAATGGCTGTCATAGATGCAGAGATGCTGATTTAAGAAAAATGTGCAGTGGTCTCTTAATTTTTTCCACAGCTGTATATATATATAATATGCCATGTTAGGCAGACGCTTTACTCCAAAGCGACTTACAGTCATGTGCGTCATACATTGTTACCGTATGGGTGGTCCCGGGGATCGACCCACTACCTGGCTTTACAAGCGCCATGCTCTACCATTGAGCTACAGAGGACCACCTCTGTATGTGTGTGTAAATATACGCACACATACATACATACGTACAATATAATATGTAAGTGTATAATATATATATATATATAATAATAATATATATATATATATTATATATATAATGTGTATCTATATATATATATAACTGTATATGTGATATGTGTATATATATATATATATATTGTATATATATATATATATCTATATATCTGTGTATATCTATGTCTATATAAATATTCTATCTATCTATGTATATCTCTATATATCTATATATCTCTATCTCTCTCTATACTAACACACACACACACACCCCATATACATATACACACACATACATACATACATATACATACACTACCGTTCAAAAGTTTGGGTCACTTACAAATTTCCTTGTTTTCAAAAGATAATAAATTTTTTGGTCCATTAAAATAACATCAAATTGATCAGAAATACAGTGTAGACATTGTTAATGTTGTAAATGGCTATTGTAGCCATTTGGAATATCTACATAGGGATATCTACATAGGCGTACAGAGGCCCATTATCAGCAACCATCAGTCCTGTGTTCCAATGGCACGTTGTGTTTGTTAATCCAAGTTTATCATTTTAAAAGGCTAATTGATCATTAGAAAACCCTTTTGCAATTATGTTAGCACAGCTGAAAACTGTTGTGCTGATTAAAGAAGCAATACAACTGGCCATCTTGAGACTAGTTGAGTATCTGGAGCATCAGCAATTGTGGGTTCGATTACAGGCTCAAAATGGCCAGAGACAAAGAACTTTCTTCTGAAACTCGTCAGTCTATTCTTGTTCTGAGAAATGAAGGCTATTCCATGCGAGAAATTGACAAGAAACTGAAGATCTCGTACAGCGCTGTGTACTACTCCCTTCACAGAACAGCGCAAACTGGCTCTAACCAGAATAGAAAGAGGAGTGGGAGGCCCCGGTGCACAACTGAGAAACAGACGCCTCACAGGTCCTCAACTGGCAGCTTCATTAAATAGTACCCGCAAAACACCAGTCTCAACGTCAACAGTGAAGAGGCGACTCCGGGATGCTGACATTAGTTATCTTGTTATTAGTTGTTGTTAGTTGTTATTAGTCCCATCCTTCAACTCCATTCAACCCCTCTCATCTATCTCTTAACACCATCCATATTGGATTTGTATTTGCCATATCTTTTTCAACTGTACTGTGACGTTTTACAAAAGTTCTGAACCCTTCCATTCTCATCGTTTCTACAGATTGTAAATTGAAAATAAACATTTATGCTAAAAATATTATTATATTATTGATTGATTGATTATGACTTTTCAGATCACCCAGTAGTGCTATCTGCAGGGTTAGCTCCAGGTAAATATTGCAATCCTTTAGCCATTCCTGGACCTGTGTCCAAAAACAAGCTACAAATGGACAGTACCAAAACAAATTATCTAATGATTCTGTCTCTTCGCAGCAAAATCTGCAGAGCAGGGAAGATTGTATCCCCCATATAAATAACAATCTATTGGCAGCAATAATTTTATATAATAATTTAAATTGAAACATTTTGAATCCGGCGTCGTTTTGCGTATCAGTTCATAAACACTATGCCATGGAATCGGTACGTCAAAAATCTTCCCAACTATTTTTGGTATATGGGACGGCTGTCAATCCTTTGGTCCTTAAAAGAAACTGGTATACTTTTTTATTAATCAACATTTTCTTTAACCAATTATGTTCTTTAATGCAGGGCCGAAAGACAAGTTCCTTACTTTTTCCCCTTTCCACTTTCCTCTTCCATTTTTGCGATAATGCTGCAATTATTTGGTTGTAATTTTGGGTAGAGCAGACATTTCCAAATGTTTTTGTTAGCTGCATGTGCGACATAACTCCACCAGTCCTACCTATGATATCATTACGAAGATTATACCTTTTTCAAACATTAATTCAAAAAAATAATTTTGATCAATTAGTATATTTGAGTTTAACCACAATATTTGTTGCATTATTTCTTCTGTCGTTTCTGGAGGATTAAATTGAAATTGCAACCAACATTCTATGGCTTGTTTTAGAAATAGTGATATTTGGGAGATTATTTCCTTTTCAAATAACTGAAAGTGAGAGGTTGTAATCTGAATAAACGGGAAAAAGGCCATTCTTGAACATTGGGTGAGACAATCTTACTAATTTCCTAGCGAACCAGTTCGGATTTAAGTATACATTTTGTATGACTGAAGTTTTTATTGATAGGTCTAATGCTTTAATATATTTCTGTCCTCCGAATTCATATTCATTATATAAATAGGCCCGTTTCATTTTGTCTGGCTTGCCATTCCAAATAAAATGGAATATTTTTCTCTCATATAATTTTAAAAAACTGTTCGCTAGGCGTAGGCAAGACCATAAGCAAATAGGTAAGCTGGGATAATACTAAAGAGTTAATCAGGGTGATTTTTCCACAAATTGACAGGTATTTACCTTTCCATGGTAGCAAGATCTTATCTATTTTGGCTAACTTTCTATTAAAATGTATTTATTTCATTTGGGATATGTATTCCGAGTATATCCACATAACCATCAGACCATTTTATTGGTAAAATACATGGTAATGTAACATTTTTTATTTTTTTGTGATCCAATACGTAATATAGTACATTTATCATAATTTGGTTGTAATCCAGAAAGGTTAGAAAATGTATCTAGATCCTCTATGAGGCTGTGGAGGGATTCAAGTTGTGGATTTAAAAGAAAACATGAATCATCAGCGTACAATGACACCTTTGTTTTTAAGCCCTGGATTTCTAATCCCTTGATATTATTGTTGGATCTGATTTTAATAGCTAACATTTCGATGGCCATAATAAATAGATTTGCCAATAGTGGACAACTTTGTTTCACTCCTCTTGACAGTTTATAACTTTCTGAGAAATAGCCATTATTTACTATTTTACACCTAGGGTTACTATACATGATTTTAACCCATTTTATAAAGAGATTCTCCAAAATTGAAATGCTCCAGGCATTTATATATAAACCCCAGTCGTAATTTATCAAATGCCTTTTCAAAGTCTGCTATGAATAGCAGGCCTGGTTTCCCAGATTTTTCATAGTGTTCTATTGTTTCCAGTACTTGCCTTATATTATCTCCAATGTATCGTCCATGTAAAAAACCTGTCTGATTAGACAATACCTTTTTAATTCTAGCGTAAGGGGCCTTCAATTTTTTTAATGGACTGGATCTTTATATTTTCCACTTGTATCCTGTTTCAGTAATAATGAAGTCAGACCTTCTTGAGTGTCTGATAATCTACCATTTACATAGGAGTGGTTAAAACATGCTAATAACGGTCCTCTGAGTATATTAATAAAGGTTTGGTATACCTCGACTGGTATGCCATCCAACCCTGGAGTTTTCCCAGACTTAGTCTTTAATTGCATCCAGAAGTTCCTCCTCTGTAATTTCACCTTCACATGAGTCTTTCTGTATGGTTGTTAATTTTACATTATCAATAGAAAAAAAATCTTGACAATTAGCTTCAGTTAGAAGAGATGGAGGCGACTGAAACGAAAACATATGCTTAAAATACTTTGTTTCCTCATGGGTGACTCCGTCATTTGTAACCAGTTTCAGTAAATTATTTTTGGTAGCATTTCTATGTTGAAGAGAAAAAAAAAATATTTGGTGCATTTTCCCACATATTCCATCCAGTTTGCTTTTTTAAAATAATATATTACACTTGATCTTTCTTGAATAAGTTTCTCCATTTCTTTTTGTTTTTCCTCTAATTTATTCTGAGCCTCTATGTTACAGTTTTTATTGCTATCTATCTGTTCTGTTAGACCTTCTATTTCCTTTGTTATTATGGACTGTTTTGACCTAAATTGCTTTTGTTTTTGAGATGAGTACTGAATTGCATGGCCTCTAAAGGCACATTTAAAAGTGTCCCATACAATAAGGGGATTTGCTGTACCTATGTTATGTCGGAAAAAAACAGTTATAAAAATTCCTCGGTCCTAGTTAAAAACAAGTTATCATCCAATAGGCTTTGATTCAATTTCCAATATCCTCGCCCACGTGGAAATTCAGTAAGAGTAATGTATATGCCAATTATATGATGGTCCGACCGCATTCTGTCCCCTATCAACACTTTTTAAACTTTTGGTGCCAACGAGAATGACATAAGAAAGAAGTCAAGACGACTAGCTTGATTAAGTCTCTGCCATGTATATCTCACTAGATCAGGATATTTAAGCCTCCATATATCTACTAGTTCTAATGTATCCATGACATTCACGATTTCCTTAAGAGCATGAGGGTGATAGTTTGTAGTGTGATTTCATTTACGGTCCATTGAGCTATTTAAAACAGTATTATAATCTCCCATCATAATAATAGAGTCTGGTATTGCTTGCAGGGTTGATAATTTATTATATATATATTGTCAAAGAAGTGTGGATCATCATTATGCAGGATAACTTTGTTTCATTTTGATGTGGCAGTGAATCGTCCAGGGATAGATGTTGGAGCATTGTCTCAACGAAGAGCTCGTCGTTCGACTAGCCACTTCCGACATGAACGCGCAGTTACAAGCCCGGGTATCGAGTAAGCGGCGGGTGCACAATCAATATCCACCTTCATAACATGGATGAAACCTGAGCTGGAATGTGAATGCTAAGGCCCGGTTCAGATACAATAGCTAACATAAGACGAGACAAAACTAACCCATTTTAGAGTGTTGTAGAACAGCTGACTGAAGACCGGGCATTCAGATCAATAAGATGCCTCTTTACAAAGACGTGATGAAACTTTCAAACAAAGTAGTCACTTGTTGTAGCAAGGTATTGTAGAGAACGAGTTTCATGAAATACATGCACCAGAAACACGACACACTTTGCAACTTGTCAGAGAAATATCATCAAACTAGCCTAGCTTTTACTGTAGCGAATTGTAGTCTGTCTGTCTGTCTGTGGTACCTTGTGTCTGATGTGCTTTAAGGTGGGGAAGCCACAGAAGTAGAGCTGGCTGCTGTTGATGCTGCGCCCCACGTGGCTCAACGACACGTGCCACGTGTCCATGGGAACTGGTGTCACCCTGGAAAACACCAATCACATCACTGTATGTTAGCGTCAGGTGTGTGTGTGTGTGTGTGTATATCTGTGAGTGTGTTCAGTGTGTGTGTATGTGTGTGTGTGTCTCACCTGACGTGGCAGTGCATGATGTTGGGGAACAGTTCAGGCAGGGTGGAGGTGTAGGGGTAGTCTAGCTCAGTGTCATAGCTGTACACAGCACACTGTGTGTGGCGGTTACGGGCCTTCTCAGCCTTGGTCATGTGATCGTTATAAGGCTCCATCGCAGCAAGCAAACATCTCTGGAAAGGAAACACGCAAATAAATAAGCAACATAAGACAAAGACACGTATGAAGTATGTCATTTACTTTTATTTGTGTGTGTGTGTGTGTCTACGTACCTCATCGATGAAGGGGATGAGCACCACTGCCTCCCACTCCTGTTGTTTTCCATTAAGGTCCGTCTTGAAGTCCAGAGGGTAATACTCAATGATGCTAGAATTCTCTGATGTCATCAGGTGCTGCGCAAAGAATAAAACACAGGTATCAGAACTGTGTGTGTGTGTGTTATGGGAAAGTGTGTTTGTGTGTCATAGGTCCCCACAATGCTGCTATGCGTGCGTGTCTGTCTGTCTGTTACCCTGTAGCTCTGGGGCAGCAAGTCTTTGCTGGCGGAAGGCAGGACTCCCAGCAGCTGCTGGAAAGGCATGAAGGGCTTGCCCATGTCAAAGGTCAACTTCAGATGGGCTATGTTCCGCACATCTGACAGGAAGGGGGCATAGTGATGCGGGTAATACCTAGGACAGAGGGAGGTATTAGTACACACACGCAGAGACAGCGAGCGACAGAGAGAGAGAGAGAGAGAGAGAGAGAGAGAGAGACACAAAGAGAGCGCGAGAGAGAGACACAAAGAGAGCGCGAGAGAGAGACACAAAGAGAGCGCGAGAGACAGAGCGCGAGCCAGAAGAGAGAAGACTGACGGAGAGAGAGAGTGAGAGCCAGGAGAGAGACACAGAGAGAGCGAGAGCGAGAGCGAGAGCGAGAGCGAGAGAGAGAGACTCACCAGCTCCAGGACTGGACTCCATGGTAGTAGTAATGCAGGATCCACTGGATTCCCTCCACATAGCACAACGCCTGGTTGGCTAGAAAATCACTGAGAACAATCATTTAAAAAAAACTTTAAAAGATTGTCACGGCTAGGGCTGTGGCAGTCATTACATTTTGTCAGCCAGTGATTGTCATGCAAATAACTTCCATTCTCACGGTAACTGACCGTTAACTAACAAACATGTTTGTTTAGCATCTCCGGCGTCCATGCACAGCCTACAAGCCACTGACGCGGACCTCTGGAACACCTACATTTTAAAAAGTCTAATAAATCCATTTAATATAACCTACACCATCACAATAAATCCATTACTTATTTTAGGCAGGTCACACAAAAACTCCCGCTGCAGAAACGAGACCAAATGTGTGTCTGTTTTATGAAAATCTAGGAATACTTGGCCAAGGAAACATTTCTGGTTAGTCTCAGGGAATGTAAAACAGTTAGGAAGGGAGACTGAAAACCGGATTGAGTGACGTAGTAGCAAATATGTTAAATGAGCAACTATTGAGCATGGAGAGCTTACAAGTTTGACAAAATCACCGTATATTTTCAGTCTAATACGGCTATTTCCTTTTGTAGCTCTTCGTCAGAAGCATGCCTTTTTAACTGTCTTCTCCAAGTTTAGCTGGAATTTAGACCGAAAGGATTTTTCAAATGTGATTGGTTGATGATATGACATTGGCCTACGTATCGCCTTCTGCTGCGCAGAATATCAGATCTCAACAACGATTGGAGAAGTGTTTAACATCCCCAGTACCACATCCTTATTATATACATCTTGTCAAAAGAGCAACGTGACTGCAAACAGAGATCTGTATATAATGATGAGACGCGCATGTCTCTGCACTAACAATGGGAGTCGTAGTCCCAAAGGCGGGAAGGCAGGCGAAAAGGTCCAAAATAAACCCATAGAAATGCATTGGGTTTATTTTGGACAGATTTTGGCGAGGGAAACCTCTCGCTTTGCCTCTTTGCTGCAAAAGAGACAAGTTGGAATGCCTGACTTTTTTGTAAATTAGTTGTGTTAGAATTGTTTGATAAAATGCGGGACATGAGTGTTTGGTTGCGGGACAAAGGGCCAAAATACGGGATTGTCCCACACAATCCGGGACATGTGGTCACCCTACTATTCTGTGTTGAGCGTTTAACAAAGAAACAGGTCCTCATACAGTGAGGGAAAAAAAGGGTTTTGCCACCAAGTACTAAGTCATGTTTTGCAGAGGGGTCAAATATTTATTTCCCCCATTAAAATGCAAATCAATTTATAACATTTTTGACATGCGTTTTTCTGGATTTTGTTGTTGTTATTCTGTCTCTCACTGTTCAAATAAACCTACCATTAAAATTATAGACTGATCATTGCTTTGTCAGTGGGCAAACGTACAAAATCAGCAGGGGATCAAATACTTTTTTCCCCTCACTGTATACAGTGGGGAAAAAAAGTATTTAGTCAGCCACCAATTGTGCAAGTTCTCCCACTTAAAAAGATGAGAGAGGCCTGTTATTTTCATCTTAGGTACACGTCAACTATGACAGACAAAATTAGATTTTTTTTCTCCAGAGAATCACATTGTAGGATTTTTAATGAATTTCTTTGCAAATTATGGTGGAAAATAAGTATTTGGTCAATAACAAAAGTTTCTCAATACTTTGTTATATACCCTTTGTTGGCAATGACACAGGTCAAACGTTTTCTGTAAGTCTTCACAAGGTTTTCACACACCGTTGCTGGTATTTTGGCCCATTCCTCCATGCAGATCTCCCCTAGAGCAGTGATGTTTTGGGGCTGTCGCTGGGCAACACGGACTTTCAACTCCCTCCAAAGATTTTCTATGGGGTTGAGATCTGGAGACTGGCTAGGCCACTCCAGGACCTTGAAATGCTTCTTACGAAGCCACTCCTTCGTTGCCCGGGCGGTGTGTTTGGGATCATTGTCATGCTGAATCACCCAGCCACGTTTCATCTTCAATGCCCTTGCTGATGGAAGGAGGTTTTCACTCAAAATCTCACGATACATGGCCCCATTCATTCTTTCCTTTACACGGATCAGTCGTCCTGGTCCCTTTGCAGAAAAACAGCCCCAAAGCATGATGTTTCCACCCCCATGCTTCACAGTAGGTATGGTGTTCTTTGGATGCAACTCAGCATTCTTTGTCCTCCAAACACGACGAGTTGAGTTTTTACCAAAAAGTTATATTTTGGTTTCATCTGACCATATGACATTCTCCCAATCCTCTTCTGGATCATCCAAATGCACTCTAGCAAACTTCAGACGGGCCTGGACATGTACTGGCTTAAGCAGGGGGACACGTCTGGCACTGTAGGATTTGAGTCCCTGGCGGCGTAGTGTGTTACTGATGGTAGGCTTTGTTACTTTGGTCCCAGCTCTCTGCAGGTCATTCACGGGGACTTGAATCCATTCAGCCACAAAAGCATTAGTGAGGTCTGGCACTGATGTTGGCCGATTAGGCCTGGCTCACAGTCAGTGTTCCAACACATCCCAAAGGTGTTCGATGGGGTTGAGGTCAGGGCTCTGTGTAGGCCAGTCAAGTTCTTCCGCACTGATCTCGACAAACCATTTCCGTATGGACCTCGCTTTGTGCACGGGGGGATTGTCATGCTGAAACAAGAAAGGGCCTTCCCCAAACTGTTGCCACAAAGTTAGAAGCACAGAATCGTCCAGAATGTCATTGTATGCTGTAACATCAAGATTTCCCTTCCCTGGAACTAAGGGGCCTAGCCCAAACTATGAAAAACAGCCCCAGACCATTATTCCTCCACCACCAAACTTTACAGTTGCCACTTTGCATTGGGGCAGGTAGAATTCTCCTGGCATCCGCCAAACCCACATTAGTCCGTCGGACTGCCAGATGGTGCGTGATTCATCACTCGAGAACACGTTTCCACTGCTCCAGAGTCCAATGGCTTCAAGCTTTACACCACTCCAGCCGACGCTTGGCATTGCGCATGGTGATCTTAGGCTTGCGTGCGGCTGCTCGGCCATGGAAACCCATTTCATTAAGCTCCCGACAAACAGTTCTTGTACTGACGTTCCTTCCAGAGGCAGTTTGGAACTCGGTAGTGAGTGTTGCAACCGAGGACAGACAATTTTAATGCACTACGCACTTCAGCACTCGGCGGTCCCGTTCTGTGAGCTTGTGTGGCCTACCACTTCGTGGCTGAGCCGTTGTTGCTCCTAGAAGTTTCCAGTTCACGCAACAGCACTTACAGTTGACCGGGGCAGCTCTAGCAGGGCAGAAATTTGACGAACTGACTTGTTGGAAAGGTGGCATCCTATGACGGTGCCACTTTGAAAGTCACTGCAATGCTTATCTATGGAGACTGCATGGCTGTGTGCTCGATTTTATACACTCGTCAGCAATGGGTTTGGCTGAAATAGCAGAATCCACTAATTTGAAGGGGTGTCCACATACTTCTGTATATATAGTGTATGTGTGGAATTATTTTTTCTTTACCCAAAAATAAAACGTCATCCATAGCCTGCACTCGAATAGCGAATGGAGGTTACATGCGGTTAAGTTTTTAATATGCCAGGTAGGCTACACCATTTGTAAAGCGGATTAATGTGCTTCATTTTTAAGAATTTAGCAATAAATATACCTGCACGAGAAAGCTGGGATCCGCTTTTAAATAGTGGCCAGTCAAAACTCTGTTTTCACACGCGATTGCGCAATGACTGGGCTTATAAGAAGACGTTTCACTAAGCTCTGTAGGCTATGGGCTCTCCAACCGTGTTCCACAAACATTATGAAAACATATAGGCCTATGGGCTAGGCTACATGATGCATGCGACTGTTTCTTGCCTTAGACTGCACACGCTGGGCATCATTCACAAGTGATAATATTCTCTCAATGTAATCTTTACATATACTAAATAATATATGTATGAAATTAGTTTTGATATAGAATGGGCCATTCCCATGCCCCTGTCAGAACAGGGGCAGGGTAAAAAAAAAAAAGACGTAATCCGTATGCACTTGAATAGCAAATGGATGACGCTTTTCCCGTGGTTCCTTTTCATGCCAGCCAGGTAGGCTACTCCGGTTGTAAAGCGAAGCAATGTGCTTAATATAGGAAATAAATATAGTAAGCCTATAGAAAGCTGAATAGGACCCTCATCTTTTTCTCACGCAATAGCATAGCTTATAGAAATGTTGCGCAACAGGAAAACGTATTTCATTCCATGCATCAACCAGCTATGAGGAGCTGGCTCTCGCTGCCCAACAGGTGATCCTATACCTCTCAAACTCTGAATGCAAGGCCTCTTATTAAGTGTTTGATTTCATTTTCGATTACATTTGCATTGATGTCAGAGTGATTAGAGGGACAATAGAGCGCTGAGTACCGACCATTAGTGACTGGCCGTTAGCAAGTTTGGTAGGCTACTGATAATCTTTGCTAATGACCATCAGCAGCATCATAGCACAGTTTTTGAGAAGCCTAGTTAACGTGTCTTAACGGTCACATGGAATTTGACTGCGGTCATGACTCGTGTCTGCCGGTGAGGCAGTAATATAGTCAACGTAACAGCCCTAGTCACGGCTCTACAACGCCATGGTCTTTTCTTATAAAACTAGAAAAATAATTAAAGTTCAGCCCAGTTTGGGGGCAAGAAACTTTTGTAAGAGCATTTCAAGACCGTTAGAGGTCGTAGGAAAATACTTAGAGAATGTTGGGGAAATGTTGGGAGAAGGTTTGGTATACAACTCACTCGGAGACTACCTCCACTCCCATCTTGGTCATGTAGTAGGTGCGTTTGTACTGTCGGAACTCTGCTTCAAACATGTCTTCTTCCTCCCCATCCTCCTCAAAACCTCTGCTGGGGGCTCTGTCCTTGCCCTCATCCAGAGCAGCCAGACACAGAGAGTCTTTCTGCACACACACACAACACACACAGGTCAGCAAGATCTTCATACACACATCTGTATTTGTAGAATGTGTGTGTGTGTGTGTGTGGTCATGTCTCACCAGGTCTTTCTTCCTGGAATCCTTCCAGTGAGCCTCCTCTGCTGCCAGTCCCGCTGCCTCGTTCAAATACTTGTTCCCCACCTTACTCTCAAACCACTTCAGATCCACAAACACCTCATTGAAATGCTCCCTGTCAAACTGGGGGAGAGGAAGAGAGAAAATACAGACAGAAAGGGTAGAGAGAGATTGCGAAACAAGTGTGAGAAAGAAAGAGAGCGTGAGACTCACAGCGACTTGTATCACAATCAGAAATTCATGGTAATTAAATCATTCCACTGATAGTGGATGTTTACTGGTCTCGCTTACCTCTGACAGTTTCTCCAGGTACTTCTCAAAGTTACCCAGGTTCAGGTGGCCATTCTCATTCAGGTATCCTGATGATGAGAAAAGACAACAAAGTTTATTACTTATTACTCACCATATTATTAGTAAAATGTTAGACAGTATAACTCAATTTATCTTACAATTTCTACCGATCTGCATGCCAGTTATGGTTTTCATATGCATATTTCGTGGAACAGTTTAATTTCATTTAGAATAATGTCTTCCTATCTCAAAATCATTGTCATGTGGTTAATCGAAATTCTATCTAAATGAAAATGACACAAATCTAAAAGTAACTTCTATTGCCAGCTATGTAAAAATAGCCTATATAAAGCCAAAAAAAAAATAACATTGCAGCCTGCAGGTAGAAAATATCCTGATAAAATTAATATCCTTTAAATTCACATTGGCTACACATGACCTGTCTGCAATGAACTTGAAACATTGTATCAACTATCAACTGGGTCCTGCCCGAAGCTTGTGCTAGCAAACTTAAAACAACAAATATTCTGGGCCCTCAGGACACACACAGCTGTAGGCCATGTGCAAGGGATAAGAAGTAATCAGGTAGGCCTATTTTATGACGTTTCAACTGGATCAGAGCATGACATTTTTCCCTTTCACACCGAGTGGTTATCGAAAGGGAGAGAGCTGGAAAGATTTTTCAAATACATACAGGAACTATTGTCATTCTCAATGGATGTAAAAACAGACTACTTGTTGTTTGAGGTGAAGAAAAAATTACTTTGAGAAGCTCCACAGCTCATTAGTGGTGGTGAGTTAAGAAAATCAGAAATACTATCAGATTCCCCAAATGGGCACATTTATAGGCCTACATTTGCTGTACTACTGGTGATATACAGTGCTATGAAAAAGTATTTGCCCCCTTTCTAATTTTCTCTACTTTTGCATATTTGTGATCCTGAATGTTATCAGATCTTCAACCAAAACCTAATATTAGATAAAGGGAACATAAGTGGTTAAGAGCATAGTGCCAGTAACCGAAAGGTCGCTGGTTCTAATCCCCGAGCCGACTAGGTGAGAAATCTGTCGATGTGCCCTTGAGCAAGGCACTTAACCCTAATTGCTCCAGTAAGTCGCTCTGGATAAGAGCGTCTGCTAAATGACTAAAATGTAAAAATAAGTGAACAAATAACAACAATTACATATGTATTTCATAAACAAAGTTATGCAACACCCAATTCCCCTGTGTGAAAAAGTAATTGCCCCCTTACACTCAATAACTGGTTGTGCCACCTTTAGCTGCAATGACTCCAACCAAATGATTCCTGTAGTTGTTGATCAGTCTCTCACGTCGCTGTGGAGGAATTTTGGCCCACTCTTCCATGCAGAACTGCTTTAACTCAGTGACGTGTGGGTTTTCAAGCATGAACTGCTCGTTTCATGTCCTGCCACAACATCTCAATTGGGATTAGGTCTGGACTTTGACTAGGCCATTCCAACATTTCCAATTTGTTGCTTTTTAGCAATTTTCATGTAGACTTGATTGTGTGTTTTGGATCATTGTCTTGCTGCATGACCCAGCTGCGCTTCAGCTTCAGCTCACAGACGGATGGTCTGACATTCTCCTGTAGAATTCTCTGATACAGAGCAGAATTCATGGTTCCTTCTATTAAGGCAAGTCGTCCAGGTCCTGAGGCAGCAAAGCATCCCCAAACCATCACACCACCACCACCATGCTTGGCAGGAGAGAGCACATTCTGGAGAGAGATGTCTGTTGTGCATCACACTACCCTTCTTCTTAGACTGTGGCATCCCCGCTGCCTCCGCAATGGATTAGTCCACTGAGACAGGCGCGAATCAGACAGGTGTCTCGCGTGCCATAAAAAATATATATTTGCAACTGCTCGACTAAAAAAAATCTTGGTCGACCAACAGCCTATTGAACAAACAATAGACCAGTCGACTAAATGGGGTCAGCCCTAATTTGTGAGCTTGTCCGTGTGTTCTCACCTCCTAGTGTTGGCAGCACACTGATGTAAGTGCGGTAGAGGAGAGGCAGGGCGTCGTGGTTGATGTGAAGATGAGGAAGATGAGGGATGAAGTCATTTCCAACAAGAAAGCCCATCAGGATCCAGTCATCTATGATTCGCTCCAGGTCGTACTCAAATGAGATCTTATTCTGTCAAACAACCAATCGAAAGAGATATTATTGAGAAACAACCAACAGGATGAGATCTTACTGTAAGGAACAACTAATCATATGATCTTATTCTTATTCAAACCATTCATAGACAACTGATAGTGTGTATTCATCACTTAAAGGGGTGTTTATGTTGCATCTACTGTATTGGTCACACTCCAGCAAGATTTTATTTTGTGTGAATGTGTCTTACCTTAACTTCAGAGAACTCGTAGTCTATGTACTCCCTAAATAGTGACAGGTGGAGTAGGTGGAAGGTTGTCTCCTCTGGAGCAGTTATTCTGCAGGAGGGGAATACATACTTATTACTAGGGATGGGTATTTGAAATTATACTGAACAAAAATATAAAACGCAACATGTAAAGTGTTGGTCCCATGTTTCATGAGCTGAAATAAAGATCCCAGAAATTTTCCATAAGCACAAAAGCTTATTTCTCTAAAATGTTGTGCACAAATTTGATTACATCCCTGTTAGTGAGCATTTCTCCTTTGCCAATATAATCCATCCACAGGTGTGGCGTATCAAGAAACTGATTAAACAGCATGATCATTACACAGGTTCACCTTGTGCTGGGGACAATAAAAGGCCACTCGAAAATGTGCAGTTTTGTCACACAACACAATGCCACAGATGTCTCATGTTTTGAGGGAGCATGCAATTGGCATGCTGACTGCAGGAATGTCCACCAGAACTGTTGCCAGAGAATTTGTCTACCATAAGCCGCCTTCAATGTCGTTTTAAAGAATTTGGCAGTACATCCAACCGGCCTCACAACCGCAGACCAGGTGTAACCATGCCAGCCCAGGACCTACACATCCGGCTTCTTTACCTGGGGATCGTCTGAGACCAGCAACCCGGACAGCTGATGAAACTGAGGAGTATTTCTGTCTGTAATAAAGCCCTTTTGTGGTGAAAAACTCATTCTGATTGGTTGGGCCTGGCTCCCCAGTGGGTGGGCCTATGCCCTCCCAGGCCCACCCATGGCTGCACCCCTGCCCAGTCATGTGAAATACATAGATTAACTCAAATTTTATTGGTCGCATACACATGTTTAGCATATGTTATTGCGGGTGTAGCGAAATGCTTGTGATCCTTGCTCCAACAGTGCAGTAATATCTAACAATACACAACAATACACACAAATGTAAAAAGTAAAATAATGGAATTAAGAAATACAGAACGTGAGAAATGACAAACAAAAAATACCGCAAAGTTGCTTAGGAGCCTTAAACAAGGTGGACATGTCTATTGGTGCCATCTTGCTCATGATTAGGACCTAATGAATTTATTTCAATTGACTGATTTCCTTATATGAACTGTAACGCAGTAAAATCGTTGAAATTGTTGCATGTTGCATTTATATTTCTGTTCAGTATATTTCACTATTAGAATAATATGATGACATTTTTGCAGTTATCCGGATAGTCAATTCTATAAAAACATATGCATAATTATATAATTTTACAAATCCTGAACAATCCGAAGATGAAAATTATGAGGGCAGAAGTAAGCTACCACAACACCGGACATGCTGCTATTCTTCGGTAGTTTCTGGCTAACAGCAACAGTGAAAGAGAAGTCTGATTTTCGCCCTGATAGAACTGAGTATCTTTCTGGTGAGTGTTTTGCATTTGCATTGATCTGTGTCAGGTCTTGTGGAACCTCCGTTATATGCGTGCCTGTAATTGCTATTTGAAGTGGAGAAAATAGCATAGCATTGTTAGGGCTACATGCGCTAGCGCAATGCACCGTCATAAAAACTACATTCAAATGATTGCTTTTAAGAATGTAAAATGTAATGGTATATCCCTGTATGTATCAATCTCACAATGTAATTTCATTTAATATAGACAAAGCTTTTTTAAATTGCCTACAATTTTTTCCTCCAAAAATGAACACACAAGTAATCGAATACTAACTTCCGTTCAGATATTCGAATAAGTGCCCTTCCCTACTTATTACTCTGTCTTACAAACACACACACACACACCTCTTCTGGTTTTTCTTCCCTCCAAAGCGGACCTCTTCTCTAAGTAGGGAGAAGTGTGGCTCATGGCTGGTCAGACCTAACATCATCTGTAGGAGAGGAGTGAGAGATATTATAGTTAACACAACAGCCCTTATATCACAGCATACCTGAGTTAGTCTAACTAGTAAGAGAACAACTGTAAAATTCTGACACAGAAATTACCAGAGACGTACACATCTGCTATCGTACACACATAATACATATCACACACCCTCCCTGATACACATCTGGGCCATCTCTCGTTCTCTCTCTCACACACACACACACGGGCCACCCACCAGGTCAGCGTCCAGGCCATAGAGACAGTGGCGAGTGTTTGGGTTGTGTCCTGGCTTGGCGTTTTCAGAGCGGATAAACTCCATGATCTTGTGCTCTCCTTCTCCCGGCGTCTGAGAGGGAAACAGCGTTACAGTTAGGGCTGTTGCGGTGGCCGTATTACCGCGACACCGGCAGTATGTGCTTTTAAAACTCACCTCACTGTGATTGATCAATTTCAAGAAAGAAGTTCAACAACAGGTTGAAAGTGAGTGGAAAACATGGTCATTGTGGATGTTGTTTCAAAAGCCTTCTAAAGGTGATGATTAATTCAAAACACCCATATGCATATTAGAGATATATGCATTCACATAGGCCTATATATGAGCCTGTGCCCGAAAAAAACCCTGAATTAAAATAATGATTGTGCCGTTATACAATACATCAGGGATCATCAACTACATTCAGCCGCGGGCCGATTTCTTCTTGAGCGGATGGTTGGGGGGGGCCAGAACATAATTACAAATTATTTGTAGATTGCAAATTGACCGCAAGAAGCCCAAACAGATATAATATTTGACTAAAACAATCATTTCAAACCTTGCTAACATTTGTATATGATCACGTGTCTCTCTATTATGCGTGAAAATACATTTTACATTTATATTTTAGTCATTCAGCAGACGCTCTTATCCACAGCGACTTACAGGAGCAATTAGGGTTAAGTGCCTTGCGCCAGGGCACAGACAGATTTTTCACCTAGTCGACTCGGGAATTCGAACCAGCAACCTTTCAGTTACTAGCCCAGCGGTTACTGGCCCAGCGCTCTTAACCGCTAGGCTACCTGCCGCCCAGATTTCCCAAATTAAAATCACTTGGAGACGATTTCCTGGTGTTTTTACAGTTTTTTTATGTCCAACAACTAAAATTCAACAGAAAATTTGGGGGGCCAAATAAAGCCACCAGTTGGGAAACCCTGCAATACATAGCGTATCCGCATATTAAAGGCAGAAAAGCATTTTTTTTAAACAGATTTAAGGTATCTTTGGTACATAATTGGTCTCGCATAAATTAAACAAATTCAGAGTTATCATCACCTTAGAAATTGTAGGCTTAATTCAAAACACCCATATGCATTTTAGAGATATATGCATTCGCATAGGCCTATATATGAGCCCGTGGCCCAAAAAAACCCTGAATTAAAATAATGATTGTGCCGTTATACAATACATCAGGGATCATCAACAAAAATTCAACAGAAAACTCGGGGGGCCAAATAAAGCCACCAGTTGGGGAACCCTGCAATACATAGCCTATCCGCATATTGAAGAAGGCAGAAATGTTTTTAACAAATTCAGAGTTAGCCTACAATTATAGTGAATTTGTATTTTATTTTCAATAGCATAGTAATAGGGAATGTTTTGTATTTTCATAATTAATAGGCTGACACATTACCTTTAGTTACAGAATATCTCATTTCCATCTCCTAAGAGTGTGCAAAGCTGTCATCAAGGCAAAGGGTGGCTATTTGAAGAATCTCAAATATAAAATATATTTTGATTTGTTTAACACTTTTTTGGTTACTACATGATTTCATGTGTTATTTCATCGTTTTGATGTCTTCACTATTATTCTACAATGTAGAAAATAGCAAAAATAAAGAAAAACCCTTGAATTAGTAGGTGTTCTAAAACTTTTGACCAGTAGTATACAGTGCATTCGGAAAGTATTCAGACCCCTTGACTTTTTCAAAATTTTGTTCCGTTACAACCTTATTCTAAAATTGATTGAATTCATATTTTTCCTCATCAATCTACACAATACCCCATAAAGACAAAGCAAAAACTGGTTTTTAGAAACTTTTGTAAATATATAAAATATACAAAACAGAAATACCTTTTTACATAAGTATTCAGACCCTTTGTTATGAGACTTGAAAATGAGCTCAGGTGCATCCTGTTTCCATTGATCATCCTTGAGATGGACTCCAATCAAGTTGTAGAAACACCTGTTGTAAATTCAATTGATTGCACATGATTTGGAAAGGCACACACCAGTCTATATAAAGGTCCCACAGTTAGTGCATGTCAGAGCAAACACCAAGCCATGAGGTCGAAGGAATTGTCCGTAGAGCTCCGAGACAGGATTGTGTCGAGGCACAGATCTGGGGAAGGTACCAAAAAAATGTCTTCAGCTTTGAAGGACACCAAAGAACAGTGGCCTCCATCATTCTTAAATGGAAGAAGTTTGGAACCAACAAGACACTTCCTAGAGCTGGCCGCCCGGCCAAACTGAGCAATTGGGGGAGAAGGGCCTTGGTCAGGGAGGTGACCAAGAACCCGGTGGTCACTCTGACAGAGCTTTAGAGTTCCTCTGTGGAGATGGGAGAATCTTCCATAAGGACAAGCATCTCTGCAGCACTCCACCAATCTTGCCTTTATGGTAGAGTGGCCAGACGGAAGCCACTCCTCAGTAAAAGGCACATGACAGCCCGCTTGGAGTTTGCCAAAAGGCACCTAAAGACTCTCAGACCATGAGAAACAAGATTCTCTGGTCTGATGAAACCTAGATTGAACTCTTTGGCCTTAATGGCCAAGCGTCACATCTGGAAGAAAACTGGCACCATCCCTACAGTGAAGCATGGTGGTGGCAGCATCATGCTGTGGGGATGTTTTTCAGCGGCAGGGACTGGGAGACTAGTCAGGATCGAGGGAAAGATGAACGGAGCAAAGTACAGAGAGATCCTTGATGAAAACCTGCTCCAGAGCGCTCAGGATCTCAGGCTGGGGCAAAGGTTCACATTCCAACAGGACAACGACCCTAAGCACACAGCCAAGACAACGCAGGAGTGGCTTCGGGACAAGTCTCTGAATGTCCTTGAGTGGCCCAGCCAGAGGCCGGACTTAAACCCGATCTAACATCTCTGGAGACCTGAAAATAGCTGTGCAGTGACGCTCCCCATCCAACCTGACAGAGCTTGAGAGGATCTGCAGAGAAGAATGGGAGAAACTCCCCAAATACAAGTGTGCCATGCTTGTAGCCTCATACCCAAGAAGACTTGAGGCTGTAATCGCTGCCAAAGGTGCTTCAACAAAGTACTGAGTAAACGGTCTGAATATTTATGTAAATGTGATATTTCCGGGTTTTCTTATTCTATACATTAGCAAAAATTCCCAAAAAACTTTTGGCCTTGTCACTATTTAATACATTTTAGAATAAGGCTGTAACATAACAAAACGTGGAAAATTCAAGGGGTCTGAATACTTTTTACGAATGCACTGTATAAGCATATCTTGTCTGCTAAATGAACAGGCCTACAGCATGGCGCATAGCCACATAACATCCAGTAGGCCAACTCATTCTATTCTTCTGAAATATATTTTCTTCATATCATAGTGTTTCTTTATAAATAAATAATGGATTTATTGTGGTGTATTTTCAATTGATTTATTATACTTTTTTTAAATGTAGATGTTCCAAAGGCGTATGTGTGGAGGCCTGAAGATGCTAAACGTGTTCATGTTAATTAACGGTCAATTACCGTTAGACAGGCAGCCTTTTGCATGACAACCAACTGCCAAAATGTAATGACAGCCACAACCCTAGTTACAGTCAGTCACAGAGGCAAACACATGTAAAGTCACACACACACACACACACACACACACACATTATGAAACATTTGTGGGGAAATCTGGGAAATGTGCAATGGAAACACACACACAATGACAGACACACACACAGTGTCCCCAGCCCTCACCTCGTGTCCAGAAAGGTAGACGTTGACTCCTTGCCAGGCATTGTCTGTGGACAGTTTACTGTTGACAAAGTACTTGAGCTGCTCCTGTAGCCTGGCCATGAAGTCCGTCCCTACAGGAGAGACATGATGGGTCGTATTCATCAGGCACGAAATGGAAGAAAACAGACTAAAACCTGAACTTAAGAAATAGTAAGAAAATAAGAAAAGCTAAATTTCCTTTTCTGTTAGAAAACGTTTTGCTATGGTGTGCCCTAATGAATACTAACACCTTCATTCATGACAACTACATCCTAAAACCTAGGATTTGGATGAGGGTATGAGCTGACAGATAGATGGGTGGAGAAGTGGATGGATTTTGTAGTAGGCTACATACCTGGTGTGATGCAGTTGGAGTCAAAGCGGGCCTCAGAGGGTAGGACCTCTCCTTTCTCCAGGGCCTTCTTTATCTTGTCCTCTGCTTCTTTGGCCGACCTTAACAAGACACATATAAGTGATTGATTAGTTGAGTAATGACGATGTGTGGTCCATCACTATGTCACTCTATCACAGATACAGCACATAAAGTACAAATTAAGTTAATATCATCATGATCATTACCTGAATCTCCTGCCTCTCTGCTGGTTCATCTTGGCCCGAGGAGCCACCCCGTCCACGGCCATGAAGAACACCTTCCTGGGCTTGATGATCCTGAACAGCACCTCCAGGTAGTGGAAGATGTCTGCAAAGATCTTCTCCTCCGAGATACGGAAGTGGACATCCTCATCGTTTGGGTGGGAGCACTGGTGGATGATGCCATTCATATCCAGGTAGAGGTTGTCAAACTCCGGAATCTGGAGGAGAGGGGGAAAGGGGAATGTTGGAGTAGTCTGTCTATCTACCATCTAGCTATAGCAAGTGGATAATCGCATCAATCCTTGAATAATGGAGGAAGTGTATTTATGAGTTGAGGATAAAAATGAACTAATGGGATTAATTGGAAACTGTAGGAAGATGTGGATTATTATTTAGGAAACATGCACATGCAGAGTTAACACGCATGTAGCTAAACCACGGCATGACTCAGGGCAGAGGGTCACAGAGTCGACTGTGGCCTGAGGTCAATATTCCACACCCTAATGCATATTGCATACCTGGCGATCAGTGATGTAAAGTACAAATATTTTAAAGTACTACTTAAATGTGTACTTTACTATTTATATTTTTGACAACTTTTACTCCACTACATTCCTAAAGAAAATTTATTTTTTTACTCCCATACATTTTCCTGACAACCAAAAGGACTCGTTGCAATTTCGAATGCTCAGGCAGGACATCAATATAGTCAAATTCACGCACCTATCAATATAATTCGTACTTTTTCCCACCACCGCTGGCGATACATTTCTGCTAAACTGGCAGTGATCTCGGTAGTGTTGCATCAGGTCGACGACTGTAATATTTGTTATTTGTTAATGTTCTATTTAGCTACTTAACTAAGTATAACTAGCTAACATAGGCCTTATTCAAACACTGTAGGCTAACGTTATATGTTATGATAATCTAAATGGAGCTGGTAGTAGTAACTTAAACTAGCTGCCTAATTTACCTAGAGAGAAATGGAGTGAAACAAGAAATTAGCTAGTAAATTTGGTTGCTAGCTGTAGCTATGTTTATCTGTACAATAACATGTTGAGTTATTTATTACCATAGTAATCATATCAGTAGCGAGTGCAGCAGAGTGGAAACAGCAATACGTGGAGATGAAACCGTTATAGGCCTGCTATATTTCGCTTGCTAGCTAACTGCAACAGTATTAACTAGCAAAGTAGAATTTCGATATCATACCTGATGTTCCTTGACAACTTCACTCAGGCAAGGGTATCGCTCTGAAATCCATCGGTAGAATTTCGGTACTCCCATCTCGACCACAAACTCTTCCCTTGGAGATAAATTTATACAATTTCAACAGTATAAGAGATGTGTAAAGTAACATGAGAAGTTGTTTTTGCTACGTGGTCCGGGGTTTTGTTTCTGTAGCAGCTACGCTAACTAGCTAGCTTCTGCTGCGTCTTCTTCTTCTTCAGTGGGGTTTATCCGCGGTTGGCATCCAACGTTATGGTGCATTACCGCCACCTACTGTACTGGAGTGTTGGCCTGAGACAGGGCGAAACTAAATCCTACCTGCCACCCCCGTTGTTCTTAAAAAAGATAACAACATATTTGAGACTATATCTAATGACGTTCTACTCAATATACTCTTTAAACTAATTTCCTGTATCCCCTTCGCCCTCATACTAGATCTCATCCTCTCTCTTTCATTTACATTTTAGTCATTTAGCAGACGCTCTTATCCAGAGCGACTTACAGTTAGTGAGTGCATAAATTTTTCATACTGGCCTCCCGTGGGCTGCCCACACTGTAGCAATACATGCTCCACGGTCTCTGTTTCCTGACAATAATCACACTTTCCTGTTGAATGCTTTCCTATCACATGTAATGTCTTATTCAACTGGCTGTGTCCCACCCTTAATCTTGTAAAAATAGTCTCCTCTCTTCTGTCCCTTCCTGCCTTTCCTCTGTCCTTTTAATAAATGCCTTCCCTTATTATCTCTATTCCACTGCTCCTAACATCTCTGCACCAGCACTGTATATATCAGTCTTTTTGCCTCTGCCTTGCTCATCAACTAAATGCATACTCTTCAATCGAACGCTGCTGGCACCCGCCCACCCGACTAGAATCACTACTCTCGACGGGTCTGACCTAGAGTATGTGGGCAACTACAAATATCTAGGTGTCTGTTTAGACTGTAAACTCTCCTTCCAGACTCACATTAAGAATCTCCAATCCAAAGTTAAATCTAGAATCAGCTTCCTATTTCGCAAACAAAGCCTCCTTCACTCATGCTGCCAAACATGCCCTCGTAAAACGGACTATCCTACCGATCCTTGACTTCGGCGATGTCATTTACAAAATAGCCTCCAACACTCTACTCAGCAAATTGGATGTTGTCTATCACAGTGCCATCCGTTTTGTCACCAAAGCCCCATACACTACCCACCACTGTGACCTGTACGCTCTTGCTGGCTGGCCCTCACTACATATTCGTCGCCAAACCCACTGGCTCCAGGCCATCTATAATTCACTGCTAGGCAAATCCCCACCTTATCTTAGCTCATTGGTCACCATAGCAACACCCACCCGTAGTATGCGTTCCAGGAGGTATATCTCACTGGTCATCCCCAAAGCCAACACCTCCTTTGGAATTGCAAAAATCTCTGAAGCTGGAGACTCTTATCTCCCTCACTAACTTTAAGCATCAGTTGTCAGAGCAGCTTACCGATCACTGCACCTGTACACAGCCCATCTGAAATTAGCCCACCCAACTACCTCATCCCCATATTGTTATTTATTTTGCTCATTTGCACCCCAGTATCTCTATTTGCACATCATCTCTTGCACATCTATCATTCCAGTGTTAATACTAATTGTAATTATTTTGCACTATAGCCTATTTATTGCCTTACCTCCATAACTTGCTACATTTGCACACACTGTATATATATTTTCTGTTGTATTTTTGACTTTATGTTTTGTTTTACCCCATATGTAACTCTGTGTTGTTGTTTTTATCGCACTGCTTTGCTTTATCTTGGCCAGGACGCAGTTGTAAATGAGAACCTGGTTCAAATGGCTTACCTGGTTAAATAAAGGTGAAAACAAATAATAATTGAAACTTCAACATCAACAGCCCCACTACTAAGTGCTTGTTTAGCCTGTTCATCTACTGCCTCATTCCCCTCCACCCCCACATGGGCTGGGACCCAAATAAATCTTATCTGAATACCCATCTGTTTAATCCTGCCATGGGTTTGTAGCACCTCATAAAGCAGGTCTTGTCTGCTACGTGAGCTAAAGTACTGGAGACTCATTAACACTGCACATGAATAAAAGAAAATAACTACTCTGTGTTGTTTGACTTCCTCCACCCACTGAAAGGCCAACAGTATGGCCATAAACTCTGCCGTATATACAGCCAGATGATCTGTAATACGTTTCCTGACTTCCACCCCACATTCCTGCACTACAAATGCTGACCCAGTACGTCCTGTCCTTGGATCTTTTGAACCATCTGTGTAAATGGCCACAAAATCCTGATACACAGTTTCCAGACGTCTCTTAAAGACATCAGATGGATCAACACCCTCCCTATCTTTCTGTAGTCTCTCCAACACTTCTAGATCTAACTAGCTAGCTGTAGTAATTACTGGTTCCACGTCAGCACAAAGAAGCCGGATCAGCTAATGAAGAACAACACAGATTGCTCTCTCTCTGAATATTACACTTAACAAAAATATAAACGCAACATGCAACAGTTTCAAAGATTTTACTGAGTTACAATTCATATAAGGAAATCAGTCAATTGAAAGACATTCATTAGGCCCTAATCTATGGACTCCACATGATTGGGAATACAGATATGCATCTGTTGGTAACAGACACCTTAAAGAAACAGGTAGGGGCGTGGATAAGATAACCAATTAGCATCTGGTGTGACCACAATTTGCCTCATGCAGCGTGACACATCTCCTTCGCATTGAGTTGATCAGGCTGTTGTGGCCTGTGGAATGTTTTCCCACTCCTCCTAAATGGCTGTGTGAAATTTCTGGATATTGGAGGGAACTGAAACACGCTGTTATACACGTCAATCCAGAGCATCCCAAACATGCTCAATGGGTGACATGTCTGTGAGTATGCAGGCCATGAAAGAACTGGGGCATTTTCAGCTTCCAGGAATTGTGTACAGATCCTTACGACATGGGGCTATGCATTATCATGCTCAAACATTAGGTCATGGCGGTGGATGAATGGCACGACAATGGGCCTCAGGATCTCGTCACGGTATCTCTGTGCATTCAAATTACCATCAATAAAATTCAATTGTGTTCGTTGTGTGTAGCTTATGCCTGACCATACCATAAACCCACCGCAACCATGCTGCACTCTGTTCACAACGTTGACATCAGCAAACCGTTCTCCCACACGACGCCACACGTCTGCCATCTGCCCGGTACAGTTAAAACTGTGATTCATCTGTGAAGAGCACACTTCTCCAGCGTGCAAGTGGCTATCGAAGGTGAGCATTTCCCCACTGAAGTCGGTTACGACGCTGAACTGTAGTCAGGTCAAGACCCTGGTGAGGATGACGAGCATGCAGATTAGCTTCCCTGAGACTAGTTTCTGACAGTTTGTGCAGAAATTATTTGGTTGTGCAAACCCACAGTTTCATCAGCTGTCCGGGTGGTTGGTCTCAGACGATCCCGCAGATGAAGAAGCCGGATGTGGAGGACCTGGGCTGGCGTGGTTTCACGTGGTGTGCGGTTGTGAGGCCGGTTGGACGTACTGCCAAATTCTCTAAAACAACGGTGGATGCGGCTTATAGTAGATAAATGAACATTCTATTATCTGGCAACAGCTCTAGTGGACATTCCTGCAGTCAGCATGGCAATTGCACGCTCCCTCAAAACTAGAGACATCTGTGGCATTGTGTTGTGTGACAAAACGGCACATTTTAGAGTGGCCTTTTATTGTCCCCAGCACAAGGTACACCTGTGTAATGATCATGCTTTTTAATCAGCTTCTTGATATGTCACACCTGCCAAGTAGAAATTCTCACTAACAGGGATGTAAATACATTTGTGCACAACATTTTAGGGGAAAAAAAGCTTTTCTAGCGTTTTGGAAAATTTCTGGGATCTTTTATTTCAGCTCATGAAACATGGGACCAACACTTTACATGTTGCATTTATATTTTTGTTCAATATATTTACCCCAACCTATCTCACCCATTGAAGTTACACCGTTTTCACAAAGGTGGCCAACCTACAAAGCTTGCTGACATGACGGTGAGGAACAATGCAAACAATAAGGCTCTGGCAATCTCTTCCACTGTTACAAAAATTTACATTGTTAAAAAAAAAAAATGTATTTCAGGAAAGGTATTAAAGGGATGATATGTAGAATGCCTCTAGAAATTGCTCCAGCCAGCATTTCAAGTAGGCTTACCCTACTGGGCTCTTTCATGTACTTCAGATTGTGTGGTTATAAAATAATCAAGGGTGGGTTATCAAATCATCATGTTGTTTTCTGTTATTGTTTTGGAACCCTAACCAAATTGATCTTTTGAGTTCATGGGAGTGTATGAAAATCCTTAGATCACTGTGGTACATCTTTGCAATGAAAGATGACCTGTATATTTCATAACCAGGCAAAAGTAATAAACAGGTAGCCTTTCCTGCAGTCTAATAACCAAATTGCCCTCTAGTGGCCTCATGGGTGGAATGTTAATATTTTTTATTTCAAAATCCGCAGAAATTCCGGTGTTTCTATGTCAAACAGTTTTGTTTTATTTCAGTCTTCTGTGATCTATATAAAGTGTAATATTGGGACGCAAACACAAAATGTAATACATTTCAACTCTATATCTGACATGGTACAGGTGTCTTATTTTTTCTTCTTCCGATAACCATGTATGGGAGGTGTATACTTTTGTTTCAAAGTAGATTTGTTTCAGACTACCAAGAAACACTGTGACCCTGATTCAGCCCACTGCAGTAAAATGTTTTAAATATCTTTAATAAAGTGATACCCATCTGTACATTAAGTTACACAAATAAAGTGAAACACCTGTAAATAAACAAGTCAGAAAATCTCAAATGTTTCAATATAAAATCTTTCACCTTATAATACAGTACCTCTATGTACACGAAGGCACAAAGTGAAAATAACATTTCCTCACTGTACAAAAACAATGAAAGCTTTTCATAGCAGTGTTTTTGGTCAAGGTATGGACGTTGGCAGTGGTTGACCAAATCAATAAAGAAGCAACTGAAAGCTCTACACACAAACACACCTATTTATAGCCATATTGAGTGTGAACACTCACTCACTGTGTGTGTGTGTACGTGTTCATGTGTGTCGTTTTTGTGTGTGTAACTCCGTATTGACATAGGCAAAAAAGCATAGGCACCGGTTGATAGGTGGGAAATCACCTGGGTGTGACTGAGCAAAGGTGAGGAAATATACATTATAAAGTCTTTATATCATTTTCTTCTGGTTACTACTTCAAAAGTTCACACACAAGTTTCAGTGAGTTGCAAAAGTAAAAAATAAAATAAAATGGAATGCCACAATAGTTCCTGTCAAACTCTAAATATTTGGTATCAAACCTGGGTCTATTTACATTTACATTTTAGTCATTTAGCAGACGCTCTTATCCAGAGCAACTTACATTATTATAAAAAATTTTCATACCCCCCGTGGGAAACGAACCCACAACCCTGGCGTTGCAAACGCCATGCTCTACCAACTGAGCTACATATACAGTTGAAGTCGGAAGTTTACATACACTTAGGTTGGAGTCAGTAAAACTTGTTTTTCAACCTATAGTTTTGGCAAGTCGGTTAGGACATCTACTTTGTGCATGACACTAGTCATTTTTCCAACAATTGTTTATAGACAGATTATTTCACTTACAATTCACTGTATCACAGTTCCAGTGGGTCAGAAGTTTACATACACTAAGTTGACTGTGCCTTTAAACAGCTTGGAAAATTCCAGAAAATGAAGTCATGGCTTTAGAAGCTTCTGATAGGCTAATTGACATCCTTTGAGTCAATTGGAGGTGTACCTGTGGATGTATTTCAAGGCCTACCTTCAAACTCAGTGCCTCTTTGCTTGACATCATGGGAAAATCAAAAGAAATCAGCCATCGACATAACCTGAAAGGTCGCTCAGCAAGGAAGAAGCCACTGCTCCAAAACCGTCATTAAAAAGCCAGACTACGGTTTGCAACTGCACATGGGGACAAAGATCGTACTTTTTGGAGAAATGACTACTGGTCTGATGAAACAAAAATAGAATGGTTTGGCCATAATGACCATTGTTCTGTTTGGAGGAAAAAGGGGCAGGCTTGCAAGCCGAAGAACACCATTCCAACGTGAAGCACGGGGTGGCAGCATCATGCTGTGGGGGTGCTTTGCTGCAGGAGGGACTGGTGCACTTCACAAAATAGATGGCATCATGAGGAAGGAACATTATGTGGATATATTGAAGCAACATCTCAAGACATCAGTCAGGAAGTTAAAGCTTGGTCGCAAATGGCTCTTCCAAATGGAAAATGACCCCAAGCATACTTCCAAAGTTGTGGCAAAATGGCTTAAGGACAACAAAGTCAAGGTATTGGAGTGGCCATCACAAAGCCCTGACCTCAATCCTATAGAAAATGTGTGGGCAGAACTGAAAAAGCGTGTGCGAGCAAGGAGGCCTACAAACCTGACTCAGTTACACCAGCTCTGTCAGGAGGAATGGGCCAAAATTCACCCAACTTATTGTGGGAAGCTTGTGGAAGGCTACCCGAAACGTTTGACCCAAGTTAAACAATTTAAAGGCAATGCTACCAAATACTAATTGAGTGTATGTAAACTTCTGACCGACTGGGAATGTAAAATAAAAGAAATAAAAGCTGAAATAAATCATTCTCTCTACTATTATTCTGACATTTCACATTCTTAAAATAAAGTGGTGATGCTAACTGACCTAAGACAGGGAATTTTTACTATGATTAAATGTCAGGAATTGTGAAAAACTGAGTTTAAATGTATTTGGCTAAGGTGTATGTAAACCTCCGACTTCAACTGTAGGAATAGGGCCTGTTGGAAGAAGGCCCAGGGAGAAATGGGGACCAGAGACTTGGATGGACCAGGGAACATACATTGGTGAATTACAATGCCCATACCCCAAAATGTGTATTTGCTCACTCCCCCTCATGGATTTAAAAGCATTGAATTAGTGTGAGCAGTTTCCACCATATCAAGGGAGAGTGAACATACATTCTGAGGCGAAAGGTAGGAAATCAGACCGCAACCAAGGCATTTTGGTCACCAGACCAGACTGCTGTGTAGTGACTAGTGACCAGTTAACATCACAAGTAGATACGGAAAGTAGCGTTGGGTTTTAGAGGACCTGATAGCCTTTTCCTGGATGAGGGGCCTGAGGTGTTTCTAGGATGTTCTCAGGATAGTGGACGATGGAGCCAAGGACACCTGCAGGGAGGAAAAAGAAACACACACACACATTTTATCAAGATGTAAAACACACCTTAGACATACACACATAGTTAACTACTGACGTTTCCCTCAGTCACGTAACAGTCACTATGCGAAAATGGTAAACATGTGAGATATGAGAGATGAGACAACAGTAAGAAGACGGGAACACAAACACCCGACAGGTGGTGCATGCTGAGGGGAGAACGGCTCATAATAATGGCCGGAACGGAGCAAATGGAATGGCATCAAACACCTGGAAACCATGTGTTTGATACTATTCCACTCCAGCCATTACCACGAGCCCGTCCTCCCCAATTAAGGTGCCACCAACCTCCTGTGGTAGGAGACATGTAAATGAGTTATAACCACACAGCACTACAGCAGTGTAGGGTTCAAGAGTCCTTCATTCTCTCACTGTTGGTACTGTCTACTTTTTAATTACTGTTCTGCTATAGTGGTCAATTTGATCATTCCCATGATGTCACTGCTTTAGGCAACAATTGCACATCTATTGTGTAATGCAGATAGAGTACATGAACATCCTCTGTAGCTCAGCTGGTAGAGCACGGCGCTTGTAACGCCAAGGTAGTGGGTTCGATCCCCGGGACCACCCATACACAAAAAATGTACGCATGCATGACTGTAAGTCGCTTTGGATAAAAGTGTCTGCTAAATGGCATATTATTATTAACATACACGTCACTAGTGTGCTAACGGCATAAGTGATATAGACCTACAACTGGGACACAATCAGGATTTACCAAAACAGCTGCGGACTATGTTGCTGAACATGTTTGAACAGCATCTTTCTAATGTAGGAATGTCCAGGAAGAATGGAATCCCAAAAATTCACTGTCAGGATGAGGCCTTAGGTGATGACACCATACTCTGTGATCATGAATACTACCCTCAGCCCTAGGAATCACACCTTTGACAAAAAGGGAACTACCGGTGTAAGACAAACAGACACACACACACACCAGTAAGATAAGCACACAGAAGGCCAGTAGCATCAGAAGATAAGGAGTCTATGATAGAGGCTGTGCCCAGTCACGTTAATGTTTACAGGGTGTGGTTTAGGAGGCAGCAGTGCCCAGACAACCAACTAACCCATCTGTTAATAATTAATCTTCTATTAATCGTTCCATATTACTGTTAACCAAGAAACCAATGGGGACAATGAGATTGAAGTGAAAACATTCTTACCTCCAGGGTGTCCTGAAACTTTGGGATCTAAAGAGAGATAGAGAAACAAGACTCATTATCTATTGACTCTGTCACGACTTCCACCGAAGTTGGTGCCTGGTGGATCATCCCAGGTGAGTAGGCACCGGACTTACCCAGAGCGCCCTGTTGCGCACATGTATGTTTGTATAGAATTTCCTGAGTTTCCCCCGCATTCCCAGCATAAGGCGCTAGTCGACTCAGGCGCAGCTGGGAACTTTATTAACAGTTCATTTGCACGTAGATTAGGGATCCCTATTGTTCCTGTTGATGTGCCCTTCCCTGTACATGCCTTAGATAGTCGTCCTTTAGGGTCGGGCCTGATTAGGGAGGTCACAGCTCCACTATGGATGAAAACGCAGGAGGGTCATGAGGAGAGAATTAGTCTCTTCCTGATCGATTCTCCTGCGTTTCCTCTGGTGTTGGGGCTTCCCTGGTTGGCCTCTCATGACCCCACTATTTCGTGGCAACAGAGGGCTCTCAAGGGATGGTCACGTCAGTGCTCAGGGAGGTGTGTAGGTGTTTCCATAGGTGCAACTACGGTGGAGAGTCCAAACCAGGTCTCCACTACGCACATTCCCCCCGAATATGCCGATTTGGCTCTCGCCTTCTGTAAAAAGAAGGCGACTCAACTACCACCCAATCGACAGGGGGATTGTGCGATAAATCTCCAGGTAGGTGCAGCACTTCCCAGGAGTCACGTGTATCCTCTGTCTGAGGAGGAGACGGCGGCTATGGAAACATATGTCTCCGAATCTCTGGGACAGGGATACATTCGGTCTTCCACTTCACCTGCCTCCTCAAGTTTCTTTTTTGTGAAGAAGAAGGATGGAGGTTTACGTCCGTGCATTGACTATCGTGGGCTAAATCAGATCACTGTGAAGTACAATTACCCACTGCCTCTCATAGCCAGTGTGACAGAGTCATTGCACGGGGCGCGCTTCTTCACCAAATTGGATCTCAGGAGCGCTTACAACCTGGTGCGTATCCGGGAGGGGGATGAGTGGAAGACAGCATTTAGTACCACCTCTGGGCACTATGAGAACCTCGTCATGCCGTACGGGTTGATGAATGCTCCATCAGTCTTCCAATCCTTCGTAGACAAGATGTTCAGGGACCTGCACGGGCAGGGTGTAGTGGTGTATATAGATGACATCAGGTAGCGGCTCCCATTACCTCCTTGCTGAAGGGGGGACCGGTGCGACTGCAGTGGTCAGCTGGGGCAGACAGGGCTTTTGGTCACCTGAAGGCTCTGTTTACCTCGGCTCCCGTGTTGGCTCATCCTGATCCCTCCTTGGCATTCATAGTAGAGGTGGATGCATCCGAGGCTGGGATAGGAGCTGTGCTGTCTCAGTACTCGGGGACGCCACCAAAGCTCCGCCCCTGTGCTTTCTTTTCGAAGAAGCTCAGCCCGGCGGAGCGAAACTATGATGTGGGGGACCGGGAGCTTTTAGCTGTTGTCAGGGCTCTGAAGGCGTGGAGGCATTGGCTTGAGGGGGCTAAACACCCTTTCCTCATTTGGACTGACCACCGCAATCTGGAGTACATCCGGGCGGCGAGGAGACTGAACCCTCGCCAGGCAAGGTGGGCCATGTTTTTCACCCGTTTTGTTTTCACCCTATCCTACAGACCAGGTTCCCAGAACGCTAAGGCAGACACACTGTCCCAGTTGTATGACACAGAGGAGCGGTCCACGGATCCCACTCCCATACTTCCGGCTTCTTGCCTGGTGGCACCGGTGGTATGGGAGGTTGACGCGGACATCAAGCGGGCGTTACGTACGGAGCCCACTCCTACCCAGTGTCCAGTTGGGCGTCTGTACGTTCCGGTTGATGTCCGCGATCGATTGAGCTGTTGGGCCCACACGTCACCCTCCTCTGGTCATCCTGGCATCGGTCGGACAGTGCGCTGTCTTAGTGGGAAGTACTGGTGGCCCACTTTAGCTAAGGACGTGAGGGTTTATGTTTCCTCCTGCTCGGTGTGCGCCCAGTGCAAGGCAACTAGACACCTGCCCAGAGGGAAATTACAACCCCTACCCGTTCCACAACGGCCGTGGTCACACCTATCGGTGGACTTCGTGACGGATCTTCCTCCGTCACAAGGTAACACCACGATCCTGGTCGTTGTGGGTCGGTTTTCTAAGTCCTGCCGTCTCCTTTCTTTGCCAGGTCTCCCTACGGCCCTACAGACTGCGGAGGCTCTGTTTACCTACGTCTTCCGGCACTACGGGATGCCTGAGGATATAGTGTCTGATCAGGGTTCACATCGAGGGTCTGGAGGGCGTTCATGGAACGTCTGGGGATCTCGGTCAGCCTGACCTCAGGTTTTCACCCCGAGAGTAATGGGCAGGTGGAGAGAGTTAACCAGGACGTCTGTAGGTTTCTGTGGTCCTATTGCCAGGACCGGCCGGGGGAGTGGGCAGCTTTCATCCCCTGGGCAGAGATGGCCCAAAACTCCCTCCGCCACTCCTTTACTGACCTGTCTCCATTTCAGTGTGTATTAGGTTATCAGCCGGTCCTGGCACCGTGGCATCAGAGCCAGATCGAGGCACCTGCGGTGGATGAATGGTTTCGGCGCTCGGAGGAGACCTGGGACGCTGCCCATGTGCGCCTGCAACGGGCCATCAGGCGACAGAAGGCGAGCGCCGACCGCCACCGCAGTGAGGCCCCGGTGGACCGGGTCTGGCTCTCGACCCGAAACCTACCCCTTCGCCTGCCCTGCCGGAAGCTGGGTCCGCGGTTTGTGGGGCCATTTAAAGTCCTGAGGAGACTGAACGAGGTATGTTATAGGTTACAGCTTCCCCCTGATTACCGTATTAACCCCTCGTTCCATGTGTCTCTCCTCAGGCCGGTGGTAGCAGGTCCGCTCCAGCAGTCTGAGGTGCGAGGGGCAGGGGGCCCCGGCGTATACTGTACGAGCCATCATGGACTCAAGACGTCGGGCAAGGGGCCTTCAGTACCTCGTGGAGTGGGAGGGGTACGGTCCGGAGGAGAGATGCTGGGTGCCGGTGGAGGACATCCTGGACCCTTCCTTACTGCAGGAATTTCACCGTCTCCACCCGGATCGTCCTGCGCCTCGTCCTCCGGGTCTTCCCCGAGGCCGGTGTCGGTGCGCTGCTGGTGCCGCGCGTCAAGGGATGGGTACTGTCACGACTTCCGCCGAAGTCGGTGCCTCTCCTTGTGCAGGCGGCTATCGGCGGTCGTCGTCACCGGCTTTCTAGCTGCCACCGATCTGCGTTTCTGTTTTCCATTGGTTTAGGTCTTGTTTGTACACACCTGGTTCCCATTGTATGTTGATTATTTCCCTATTTAACTCTCTGGTTCCAACATGGTTTTGTGCGTGTTTGTTCGTTGTGTTGTGTCATACGCTTTTGTGAGCTGGTGTGTTTTCCCTGCGTGGAAATTAGTGTTTGATTTTCCGAGTAAAGTACGTTGTGTACTCAGTTCTGTGTCCTGCGCCTGACTCCGTCCTACCACTGCACATTTGACACCCTGACAGACTCTGCTGTAGGCTATCTACAGTGCCTTCAGAAAGTATTCACATACCTTGACTTTTTTCACATTTTGTTGTGTTACAGCCTGAATTTAAAATGGATTACATTTAGATGTTGTGTCACTGGCCTACACACAATACCCCATAATATCAAAGTGGAATTATGTTTTTTGATTAAAAAATAAATAAAAACATTTAAACTGAAATGTCTTGAGTAATAAGTATTCAACCCCTTTGATATGACAAGGCTAAATGAGTTCAGGAGTAAACATTTGCTTAACCAGTCACATAGTAAGTTGCATGAACTCACTCTGTGTCCAATAACAATAACAATAATCTTTGACAACAACAACAACATCGTGCTGGGTGTGAGGGCCGTCACCGACACAGAGGATTGGGTGATCTCACTCTCCGAGGCCGACGTGAAAAAACTTATTTAATCAGGTCAACACCCGCAAGGCCGTGGGGTCCAACGGTATTCCAGGGCGTGTTTTCAGAGCATGCACAGAACAGCTGGCAGGCATATTCACGGTCATTTTCAACCTCTCCTTGTCCCAGTCAGTAATCCCCACATGTTTTAAGATGACCACCATCATTCCTGTTCCCAAGAACTCGAAGGCTTCATGCCACAATGACTACCGCCCTGTAGCACTCACTTCTGTTGACGACACTGAATGTTCCTGAGTGGCCGAGTTACAGGTTTTGACTTAAATCGACTTGAAAATCTATGGCAAGACTTGAAAATGACTGTCTAGCAATGATCAACAACCACCTTGACAGAGCTTGAATAATTTTTTTTAGAATAATGTGAAAATATTGTACAATACAGGTGTGCAAAGCTCTTAGAGACTTACCCAGAAAGACTCACAGCTGTAATCGCTGCCAAAGGTGCTTCTACAAAGTATTGACTCAGGGGTGTGAATAGTTATGTAAATGAGATATTTCTGTATTTAATTTTCAATAAATTTGCAACAATTTCTAAAAACATGCTTTGACTTTGTCATTATGGGGTATTGTGTGCAGATGAGTGAGTAAAACTTTTTCTTTATCCATTTTGAATTCAGGCTGTAAATGTGGAATAAGTCAAGGGGTATGAATACTTTCTTAAGGTGCATGTTGTCATGGGGACGGTTGTATGTACACAATTACTTTTATACAGCACAATAATGTTACCATCAAAGATCCAAAGTCACATTTAGAATTGTATATAAAAGTATAAAGTACATAAACATTTAATTGCATGCAATAACTTTTCTCCAGATTATGAAAGCCATTCTGTAAATATCCCAGACTGGGCCTTTAAAGATCAGGGGGGTCAACAAGCGATAAACCAGTACTGTATGCTTTATAATGTCGCTTACCTTGTTGTTTAAAGATGAGGAAGCTTGCGGTAACCAGGGCAACAAAGACCAGGCCTGCTAGCAATGAAGCCAGGGCAGCCAGCATGGACATCCCTGCAGGAACACACACAACAACAGGAATTCACCTGATTCACCTGCTTCATAACTAGTTAAACAAGTGACTAAAGAAAGGGAACAATCTGTGGATCTTGTGGCGTGTAGGCCTGAGGGTGTTTGAGTTGTTACACATTTTGTTACACCTGACACATGAGCTTCACATACACACATACAGTATATAGCCATGTTATTTTCACTCCTTATTTGTATTCGTTATTCACTGTGTATTTATTCCAGAGGTGGGACCAAGTCACAAGCAAGTCTCAACTCACAAGGTTCAAGTCTTAAGTTGAGTCCCAAGTAGAACGGGTCGAGTCTTGAGTCAAGTCCAAGTCGTGCATTCTAAGAGCAAGTTAAGTCGAGTCAAGTAAAAATCTATACATGCAATGACTTGTTCAACTACAAATCGAGACCATGGGACTATAAGGTTCTATCTGACATTTTTGTCAAAAATGAGTTAGTCTCATATAATATATCTTTAGATGGTTCTTCATATGTCTGTAAAGGTATATATATTTTTAAAGTACATTTTAAGTGAAAGAAATTAACAGCTAGAAAGTTCTATCGGCATAAACCCATTTGAACTTGGCGCTAGAAGGTTCTATCTGCAATCAAATCACAAGCATGAAATAGAGACGAACCAATCAGAACATGTCTTTGCCATCTCCCTCTAAATATGGTCTAGGCTAGTCTAGCCAACAATAATGGCAAGCAAGCAAAAAACAACAACACTGTCAGAATTCTTAAAGTAAATGATGTCACATCTTTGTTCAGTGATGAGAGTAATTTGTCTAATGATCATAATGATTTGATGATGTGTTCTGACTCTATTTTGGTAAAATAGTGTTATTCTATCATTTATGTATGCAAATAGCTACAGTCTTCTTCAAAACTGAACAGGGCCATAAGGTTCTATCTGCTATTGCACCCCCCTACAAAACAAATTTACAAATGGCTCAGGATTATGTACCTTTAAGGTGAGGACCTTAATGGGTTATGAAAAAAAATATTCACTACAAAACAGTTCTGAAATGTGAAAACTGATGCTCAATATCTCAGAACTGTAATTAGTGCAGATATAACTTTATTGTCCCAAGGTCACGAAATCTTTGTCTATTTATTGAGGCTACCAGACAGCCCTTTTCATTATTTTGTCAACACATTTTGATTATGTAATAATTAATTTTAACAACAAATTCAAAATGCAAGCTTCATAACTCAATTATACATTTCAAGCAATTATGACATACCAAAAGACCAGTATATCTATGCTAGTAATTGTTGCTTGATGCCCCATTGTTGGTGAGCATGAAAAGTAAACAGTTAATATTCTTGATTACCAAACCATTTTTGGAGCCGCATATTTATTAATAATGTAAATCCTCTCTCCCTATAATTTGACGTTTGCGCTGCACCGATTCTATAGCTGTACAGCAAATCAGCAATCTATTCGCTAGCTCAGTTGATGTCAAAAAAAAATACCAGCGACCCCCAAAAAGGAGTGGTTCAAAGCTTGCGATCCCCGCGCACGCACATGCACGCGCGCACAGGTGCTGCTAAATGGCATATTATTATTTATATTACTGTATGCAGCAGGGGTTGCAGAATCGGAGGGAAAGCATGATCTGTCTGTAGCCTTTTTCTTCCTCACAAATATCGTAATTAATTCCCCACAATATGTTACATCTTCATCCCATAAGTATTGAATATTATTTTAATTATATATTATTATTATATTGAAGGTAGTGCGATATTACAGCTATCTTTAGACATATAGCCAGTACCACCACTGAGGTATATAATTATAACCCACCCAAACTAGGCCTATCTGAAATAGGAACATTATCATGAAATCACCAGCCTATTGTTCTGGCAAAGACGAGTCCGTAGCAGATTGCTGAATTTTATATGGATAATATTAATGTAGGCAGGCTACTCTGTTTTTCCCAGGCAAAACCGGAGAAAATTAAACAAGTGCATTCTGGTCACTAATCTGGATATGTGCGACAGCCTTTGCGCGCCAGTGCTGATGACAGGCCATTGGTCAACAGTTCTACAGCACATATTACAAGAGTTTGGTGCAATGCCGTAGGCCTATGTTAGTAACCAGATCGAATAAACAAAGGTATAAATATAAAATACAAATGGTAGACTATATCTACCCTATTCAAATATGTATATATTTTTTACGCATTTTTCCCCATTCAGTTTCACACTCGCGACCCCCCCAAAACCTTCTCACTGCGCTACTGTAGGTCACCCGACCTGTGTTGATTGACAGTTTGCTGGTCCAATCAGAGGGCCGAATGTGCGTTCAACTGGCTAATCTATTTTTTTTGGCAAGTGCAATACTGTCTCTGGAGAGTAGCCTAATTGATCCACGGAGACTCTGTGTCACAAAATGAGTGACAAAACGTTACAAAATCTGGCCAGATAATTTCAAGTCTTCAGTCTCAAGTCTAAATCGAGTCCCGAGTCGAAGTAAAGTCTCAAATTGTTTTATTTTCTATCTCAAGTCATCAAATTTGTGACTCGAGTCCACACCTCTGATTTATTCCTCATGTCACTATTTCTATTTTTTATCTTATCTTTAACTCTGCACTGTTAGTCTCCACCTGTTGCGTACGAAGCATGTGACAAATAAAATGTGATTTGATTGATGTGCTACATTCACCCCTCAAATTTACTCAACACCGACCCCAGCGTTGAGCTGAGCGCAACTGTAGATAGTCACTGGCACCACTCTAAACGACGTCACTCTGCTTGCTTAGCGAGTACTACATCCTCCTGATCCGGCTCACACCAAGGCTCGAACCCAGGACCTCTGCCTTGCTAGCACACGTGACCGCCCTCCTGAAGCGTCTTACCAGTCGGCGCCAAAAGAAAAGCTAGCGTGGAAACACTTCAGGCTGAAGAGTAGCGTAAATTTCACAGATCCATGCGCTACATACACCCCCACACACTGCCGTCTAACCTATACATTTACATTTTAGTCATTTAGCATTTATACACTACTCTTTCAGTGTACACTGTAAGCATAGTGGCACCAAGTAGGCCTCCCCCTGTGACCTTACCTCCAGTGGTGGTGGGCTCAGAATGTGTGAGCTCCTTCATCAGTTTGGCACAGCTCTCGTGGAGTTGAATCCTCTCTAGCCTCGTGCGCTCAGTGTCCTGGTCCCAAAGCTGTTTGAGTGCGAGGGCCTGTGGTACCTCAGCTGTCCAGGTGTCTGTGTTTCGGTCCAGAGTCAGGAAGTAATTCCCGTCGACCAGGAGCCGGTCGGTCAAATGCACCACTCGAAATCCGTCCAGTTTGCATTCACGCACACGCAGGTACTGGTAAGTATGATTTTCTGGTTATGGAAGGGAAAAATGGAAAGGAATGGTTAAGAATGAATGTAACCTTTATCAGAATATCTCTGATTGTATTCCTTGTCAGTCAAAGAGGTTGATTTGTCCCAGCACGGGCAATACAAGTGTCAGGTCTCAGGTACCTGCCATTGTGCCCTTGAGCAAGGCTCCTGTGCCCTCAAAAGGTTTGCGTTGTGTTTGTGTACTGTATTTGCGTGTTACCGTAAGTTCATACAGTTATGCATTAGGCCTACTTGTCATGGTGTTGTTGACATTTTCTTCTATCTCAAACGCATGTTGAAAAGACTCGCTGTAGTTGCCCAACAATACAGCACGGAGAATGGCGATGATGTCTTTCCCGCAGCTGGAGAGAGGGGCTCTGTTGATCAATACCTGCTCGACGGCCTCGACCTCACCGACCACTCCCGACCGCTGGAACTGAATGACCGTGTCTACAACAAAACACATTAAAAAGCAAACATTTATAGACTACTAATTTGTTTTGAATACCCTTATATTCATACCAGTCACAATAGTGGAGAATGTTGTGCGTAAAATGAACACATTGTACAATAAAGGAATGGAAAAGTGAGCAATGGAAAAACCTACCCATTTGAAGACCCAAACATAGCTTGCAAATCAGAATGAATGTAAGTGGAAGTCGCATCTTTGCCGTCACTTCTCCCAACTAGAACTAGTCTTTGAAATGATGTACTAGCTACCTCCAAGACGTACGCCTAATGTAATAGATTAGATATAAATAGAACGAACTCTTTCTTCTTGTTCTCCCTTGCAAATACAAACACGGAATATGATAAAGGATATGCCAAGGTCCTCCATAGGTGTGCGTATCCTCCGAATTTGTCCCTACAAGTGGTCGGAAACTGTTGTCTTTTAAATGCGCGCTACGATTTTCAGTAGTTTGGGATGTGATTGGCTGATGGGAGGTCAGAGCGAGGATGGTCCCTTTAAAACGAAAAATGGGTAGGTCTTTCACGAGAGCGCTTCAAGGCGTGCAACAGCCTACCTCATAGGAGTGACATGACAGTTTATTGAAGCATTTAGCTTCCGAAATTGAATTGGAAATGCAAATGGACAAATGATAAATCAATATCATGTATGCGATTCCTTTTCCTAAATGGGTATGCATGTTTTGTGGCAAAATTCTATTTGAAATGCAAAAAAAGATATTGCATTATAATTTTCATGATTGAGTATGCATAATGTCTGCCAATTTGAAAAATAAATAACAAAGTGTGTTTGATATTTCATTTCCATGGTACCATCCAGTCCAACACTGACACGTTTAAAAATCTAATGTAAATGCTTAAATGACATTTCTCATGTTTTCCATTAATTTCCTTAATGTCACAGCATGAATTGTGACAAAAATAAAAATAATTCTCACTTAAATGGAAAACAATACTTTTACATACTCTGTGTGGTTTAAAGGTAAATATATTACTTGGAATGCTATGTCCATATATAGTATGTATCTTCCTCTGTTGCAGAGGTGGATGTTTTCATCATGACTCTATGGTACAAACAGAACTAGAGCACAGATGAGATGTGTAGAGTTCAGTCTATTTGTGTCTGACTCATTGTCCCACAGCTGAACACAAGAGGGAAGATAGAGGAAGTTGCACACACTATCAAACCACAGTGTACTGTACATACAGTGCCTTCAGAAAGTATTCAGACCCCTTGACTCTTTCCACATTTTGTTATGTTACAGCCTTATTCTAAAATGGATAAAATAAAAAAAATCCTCAGCAATCTACACACAATACCCCATAATGACAATGCGAAAACAGGTTTTTAGACATTTGTGCAAATTTATTAAAAATAAAAAACAGTAATACCTTATTTACATAAGTATTCAGACCTTTGCTATGAGACTCGAAATTGAGCTCAGGTGCATCCTGTTTCCATTGATCATCCTTGAGATGTTTCTATAACTTGATTGGAGTCCACCTGTGGTATATTCAATTGATTGGACATGATTTGGAAAGGCACACACCTGTCTATATAAGGTCCCACAGTTGACAGTGCATGTCACAGCAAAAACCAAGTCATGAGGTCGAAGGAATTGTCCGTAGTGCTCAGAGACAGGATTGTGTCAAGGCACAGATCTGGGGAAGGGTACCAAAAAATTTCTGCAGCATTATAGGTCCCCAAGAACACAGTGGCCTCCATCATTCTTAAATGGAAGAAGTTTGAACCGCCATGACTCTTCCTAGAGCTGGCTGCCCGGCCAAACTGAGCAATCGGGGGAGAAGGGTCTTGGTCAGGGAGGTGACAAAGAACCCGATGGTCACTCTGACAGAGCTCTAGAGTTCCTCAGTGGAGATGGGAGAAGCTTCCAGAAGGACAAGCATCTCTGCAGCACTCCACCAATCTTGACTTTATGTTAGAGTGACCAGTCGGAAGCCACTCCTCAGTAAAAGGCACATGACTGCCTGCTTGGAGCTTGCCAAAAGGCACCTAAAGACTCTCAGACCATGAGAAACAAGATTCTCTGGTCTGATGAAACCAAGATTGAATTATTTGGCCTGAATGCCAAGCGTCACATCTGGATGAAACCTGGCACCATCCCTACGGTGAAGCATGGTGGTGGCAGCATCATGCTGTGGGGATGTTTTTCAGCGGCAGGGACTGGGAGACTAGTCATGATCGAGGCAAAGCTGAACAGAGCAAATTACAGAGAGATCCTTGATGAAAACCTGCTCCAGAGCGCACAGGACCTCAGACTGAGGCGAAGGTTCACCTTCCAACAGGACAACGACCCTAAGCACACAGCCAAGACAACGCAGGAGTGGTTTCGGGACTCTGAATGTCCTTGAGTGGCCCAGCCAGAGCCCGGACTTGAACCCGATCGAACATCTCTGGAGAGACCTGAAAATAGCTGTGCAGCGACGCTCCCCATCCAACCTGACAGAGCTTGAGAGGATCTGCAGAGAAGAATGGGAGAAACTCCCCAAATACAGGTGTGCCAAGCTTGTAGTGTCATACCGAAGAAGACTAGAGGCTGTAATTGCTGCCAAAGGTGCTTCAACAAAGTACTGAGTAAAGGGTCTGAATACTTAAGCAAATGTATTTTTAATTTTTTAATTTTTTATTATTAGCAAAAATGTCTGAAAACCTGTTTTTGCTTTGACATTATGGGGTATTGTGTGTAGATTGATGAGGGAAATAAAACGATTTAATCCATTTTAGAATAAGGCTGTAACCTAACAAAATGTGGAAAAAGTCAAGAGGTCAGAATACTTTCCGAAGGCACTGTAGGCTACTGTGTGTGTGTGTGTGTGTGTGTGTGTGTTACAACAACAACAGTGAATTGCATTTTATTTTGTTTTTCCAAAGCATTTTCTGCAATACAAAGAGAAACTAAATAGGTCAAGGAGGCAGCAGCTCATATGAAGAAGTGTGTCACACCCTGGCTCTGGGACCCTATATGTTGAGCCAGGGTGTGTTCATTCTGTGGTGTTCATTCTAGTTTGTTGTATTCTATGTTTGCCTGAGTGACTCCCAATCAGAGGCAACGAGTGTCAGCTGTTGGCTGGTTGTCTCTGATTGGGAGCCATATTTAAACTGTCTGTTTTCCCTTTGTGTTTGTGGGTTTTTGTTCCGTGTTCGGTCATTGATACCGTTGGACGTCACGAGTCGTTTCTTGTTTTGTATTGTGTTTAAACTTTAACTAATTAAAGTATGTTTGTTCATCACGCTGCGCCTTGGTCTGTTCAATATGACGATCGTGACAGAAAAACCCACCTCGACTGGATCAAGCAGCGTGACGAGGAGAGAGGATGGACTTGGGAGGAGATGAGTGCGAGTCTGGCAAGAGGGATGGAGGCCTTGGCCACGAGTAGGAGTGAAGCCCATACATTTTTTAGGGGGGGGCTAACGCCGTGGACGACGGGGCAGCAGGAGGCCGCCAGGTTACGGGAGTCACTGGTCACCAGGGGGAAGGAGGATGTAGAGGCACGGCAAGAGGTACTGGCGTGTGTTGCCAGTCCGGTCCGGCCTGTTCCTGATCCCCACGTAGGGCCAGTGGTGTGTGTTCCCAGTACGGTCCGGCCTGTTCCTGCCACTCGCACCAAGTCAGTGGTGCGCTTCGTCAGCCTGGCACGGCCCGTTCCTGCTCCCCGCACCAAGTCAGTGGTGCGCTTCGTCAGCCCGGTCCGGCCCGTTCCTGCTCCCCGCACCAAGTCAGTGGTGCGCTTCGTCAGCCCGGTCCGGCCCGCTCCTGCTCCCCGCACCAAGTCAGTGGTGCGCTTCGTCAGCCCGGTCCGGCCCGCTCCTGCTCCCCGCACCAAGTCAGTGGTGCGTTTCGTCAGCCCGGCGCGGCCCGCTCCTGCTCCCCACACCAAGCCAGTGGTGTGCGTCGTCAGTCCGGCATGGGCCGTGCCTGTTCCACCAGTGGCTGGTCCGGCACCGGTCAGATGCTTCGCGCCGGAGCTAGTGCAATCCGCTCCACCAGTGTCAAGTTCAGCTCCAGCCAGCGGGGCCAGACTGGACCAGGGGCGCTATGGGGGGTTGATTGGAGGGTGGTGGTCAAGGCCGGAGCCAGAACCGCCGCCGAGGAGGTATGCCCGCCCAGCCCTCCCCTATTTTGTTTTAGTTGAGGCGCGGTCGCAGTCCGCGCCTTTAGGGGGGGGTACTGTCACACCCTGGCTCTGGGACCCTATATGTTGAGCCAGGGTGTGTTCATTCTGTGGTGTTCATTCTAGTTTGTTGTATTCTATGTTTGCCTGAGTGACTCCCAATCAGAGGCAACGAGTGTCAGCTGTTGGCTGGTTGTCTCTGATTGGGAGCCATATTTAAACTGTCTGTTTTCCCTTTGTGTTTGAGGGTTTTTGTTCCGTGTTCGGTCATTGATACCGTTGGACGTCACGAGTCGTTTCTTGTTTTGTATTGTGTTTAAACTTTAACTAATTAAAGTATGTTTGTTCATCACGCTGCGCCTTGGTCTGTTCCATATGACGATCGTGACAAAGTGGTCAAAGAGCATGCTCTTATCTACATGTGCTAACAGAGCATATTATGGTATCCATGTGATGCACAGGGAGTATTTCAAAGAATGATCCCTCACCTGCTTTAGAGAGTTTTACCACTGTGTGCTTCAGACAGCACAACACTGGGTCAGGAGTGAAGTAGTCCCATTCACCAGCAGTAGTGTCTGAAGAGATCATCTCCTATCAATCTTGGCACGCAATGGGGGGGAATATTGTTTTGGGTGTAAAGATCTGTGTCAAGATAACAAGAACAGCAGTGTCTCGGTCTTACTCTGCAAAAAGTCAGAGGCCGAGCCTTTCAGGTCTCTCCTCCACCCGTTATGGGGTCTGAGCCGCCGAAGCCTCCCACCATTAGCGCTGTCAAATTGAAAACCCTAGTCATTGGCGACTCCATTACCTGCAATATTAGATTTAAAAAGAATCATCCAGCGATCATACACTGTTTACCAGGGGGCAGGGCTACCGATGTAAAGGCTAATCTGAAGATGGTGCTGGCTGAGGCTTAAACTGGCGAGTATAGAGAGTATAGGGATATTGTTATCCAGGTCGGCACCAATGATGTTAGGATGAAACAGTCAGAGGTCACAAAGCGAAACATAGCTTCAGCGTGTAAATCAGCTAGAAAGATGTGTCAGCATCGAGTAATTATCTCTGGCCCTCTCCCAGTTAGGGGGAGTGATGAGCTCTACAGCAGTCTCACAACTCAATCGCTAGTTGAAAACTGTTTTGTGCCCCTCCCAAAAGACAGAATTTGAAGATAATTGGCCCTCTTTCTGGGACTCGCCCACAAACAGGACCAAGCCTGCTGAGGAGTGACGGACTCCATCCTAGCTGGAGGGGTGCTTTCATCTTATCTATGAACATAGACAGGG